AACAATGTCTTTTGTTGAATAAGGCCATGTGGCACACTGCTAGCTGCTAGCATCCCGAATTAGCAACAGATTAGCACAAAATCTTCAAATAATTAAATATAAATAAATAATTAGTCATTTAGCAGACGCTCTTATCCAGAGCGACTTACAGGAGCAATTAGGGTTAAGTGCCTTGCTCAAGGGCACATCGACAGATTTTTCACCTAGTCGGTTCGGGGATCAACCCTGTCACATTCAACCCCATCACATTTTTCAATGTTACGGGGTTGAATGGCTGTTACAGGGTTGAATAGCTGTTAAATCTTAGCAATATTTAATGTATATTGCTTAATACCAATCATATTTTCTTGTTGAATGTTTGTTGTTTACGGTTTTACAGTATCAACTAAAAGTACGAGGAATTTTTGAAAATAATAACTTAAAAAAGTGACAATTAATTTGTTCTCTCTCCTATATACATTGACATATTTAGGAGTATTATCTGCAAGTTCATGTTCATTTTACTACATAGTGATTAAAAGGATACAATATTTAGTCTTGAAGAGTAAGCAGGTCATTGACTTGACCTTGACCTACAATTTCAGATTCAACAATGGAAAAAACAGCAGCAGAAAGGAAACACACATAGAGAGGAAGGTGAGGGACATCCGCGCGCCGGTGGTCAGGTAATTCTCCTGGAAATGTAAGATCTTTAAGACACGAGGTGGTGGTGGTCATGGACACACAATCAACAGAAAATAAAGTTTTGTTGCTTTAAAGCATAATTTGGTAATGCATAAAAAGACTAGAGAATGTAAATGAAGACTAGTCTAAAAAGACATACAGTATACTGCCTTGGCAACTGGTGCGTGAGGGGTTCATGTTCACTAGCCGACTGGTTTGTACTGACATATTTAGGAGTATTATCTGCAAGTTCACGTTCATTTTACTACATAGTGATTAAAAGGATACAGTAATTAGTTTTGGAGAGTAAACTGGTCATTGACTTGACCTTGACCTACAATTTCAGATTCAACAATGGCAAAAACAGCAGCAGAAAGGCAAAGATTTGCCAGTAGTTCCATCCACAATGCGGATCCACCAAGTTGTTTGTGTGGCTGCAAGGCAAATTGCCTACCGTGATGTAAGCTGTATGTGCACAGTCCACAACAAGAAACTGGAATGCCAGTGTTTCAATACACAACATTTCACATTTACCCCTAAAGTTACATCAGTCGTGTCACAGAGGGAGGTTGATTGGGCAAATCCAGACATATGCGGGAAATGGTGCGTGGCCAAATATGATGACGATTTCTATCCCGGAATAATTCTAGCCACAGATGAATCCCATGTGCAGGTCAAATGCATGTGCTGTGCTGGACCAAATAGGTACTTCTGGCCACTTCTTGATGATATCCTGTGGTATCCATTTGAGGACATCTTGGAACACATTGATCCCCCTAAACCGGTGACTTCTAGGCACATGGAAATACAGAAGGAAGTGTGGGCTAGGCTCTCTCAGTAAAAATGGTGAACAAACTGTAGGCTTACCTATAGGTTATTAATGTTAAGATGTTTGCTTAATGTTCAAACATTCAAACAACACAGACATTCCTGCCATTACTCTGGATATTTCTATGAAATCAATGAAATGTTGTAACTGTTGTTAGTTTATTAATGTGTTTTAATCTGTCTAGATTTCATCTTGATTGTTTAAACTTTAAAAGCTATGTTGACAGTAGTTTAAAATGTTAAAAAATGGCAACATGTGACCTATATAGGTTATCAATGTTAAGATGTTTGCTCAATGTTCAAACAGACTCCTGCCATTATCAGATGGATATTTTTATGAAATCAATGAAATGTTGTTACTGTTATTAGTTCATTAATGTGTTTTACTCTGTCTAGCTTTCATCTAGATTCTTTAGATTTTAAAAGCTATGTTGACAGTAGGTTTAAAAATGTTTAAAATGTTTAAAAAATGGCAACATGTTAGTGATCTCAAAAGATAAAACATATGACACGTGATGCTTTTCACTCAACCCTGTTACATGATTTTCAACCCTGTTGCGGTGCATTCATCCCTGTTACGAGATTATTTTTTTACATTTTTGTATTAAATACACAAAATATAACATCAATAGTGTTTTTATTGTGTGTATTAAATCAGGGTAAATAAGGCTATTTCAATTTTGTCAGGAATTACGCAGCATTCTTGCACATTTCTTGCGAAAATGTGGAGTTAGATTAGAAATTTCTTCATCGTAAACTGGAAAGGATGGTGCTGGTCAGTTTTTCTTGATTTTCTCTTTAATTACAATATGCCATTATTTACAAGGGACATCTAAACTGTGAGATTATGCCAGAAGCTGATCTCAAGCTTATTGGAAAAATGAATAGTTGAATAACAAAATGACTGTGACGGGGTTGAATTAAATTGGGACTTGTTTGAGAAAATAATACAGAATAATAACTTAATACTCTACATTGAGATGGGAAAAGGTATTTTTTATCAAGTACACACATTACTTTGTCACATCAAATAAAAAAAAGCTTAAGATTTTAATGTTCATTGTTTCATCCTCCTCAATCACAAAAGGCACCGAATCTGTAGAATGACCCACATATCTCAAAGGAAATAAATGATCTCACTTCAATACATTTTAATAGAAAGTAAGCAAAAATAGATAAGATCTTGCTATCATGGAAAGGTAAATACCTGTCAATTTGTGGAAAAATCACCCTGATTAACTCTTTAGTATTATCCCAGTTTACCTATTGCTTATGGTCTTGCCTACGCCTAGCAAACAGTTTTTTAAATTATATGAGAAAAAAATATTCAATTTTATTTGGAACGGCAAGCCAGACAAAATTAAACGGGCCTATTTATATAATGAATATGAATTCAGAGGACAGAAATTATTAAATATTAAAGCATTAGACCTATCACTAAAAGCTTCAGTCATACAAAAGTTATACTTAAATCCGAACTGCTTCTCTAGCAAATTAGTAAGATTGTCTCACCCAATGTTCAAGAATGGCCTTTTTCCCTTTATTCAGATTACAACCACTCACTTTCAGTTATTTGAAAAGGAAATAATCTCCCAAATATCACTATTTCTAAAACAAGTCATAGAAAGTTGGTTGCAATTTCAATTTTATCCTCTTGAAACGACAGAACAAATAATGAAACCAATATTGTGGTTAAACTCAAAAATACTAATTGACAAAAAACCTTTTTTTTTTTGACAGAATGTTTAAAAAAGGTATAATCTTCGTAAATGATATCATCGGTAGGACTGGTGGAGTTATGTCGCACATGCAGCTAACAAAAACATATGGAAATGTCTGCTCTACCCAAAATTACAACCAAATAATTGCAGCCTTACCGCAAAAATGAAAGAGGAAAGTGGAAGGGGGAGAAAGTAAGGAACTTGTCTGTCTGCCTTGCATTAAATAACATAATTGGTTAAGGAAAACTGTGATAAATAAAAAAGCATATCAGTTTCATTTAAGGACCAAAGGATTGACAGCCGTCCCATATAGATTGCAAAATAGTTGGGAAGAGATTTTTGATGTACCGATCCCATGGCATAGTGTTTATGAACTGATACGCAAAACAACACCGGATTCAAAACGTAGAATCTTTCAATTTAAATTATTATATACAATTCTTGCTACCAATAGAATGTTATTTATATGGGGGATACAATCTTCCCAGCTCTGCAGATTTTGCTGCGAAGAGACAGAATCATTAGATCATTTGTTTTGGTACTGTCCATTTGTAGCTTGTTTTTGGACACGGGTCCAAGAATGGCTAAAGGATTGCAATATTTACCTGGAGCTAACCTTGCAGATAGCATTACTGGGTGATCTGAAAAGTCATAGTCAATCAATCAATAATATAATAATACTTTTAGCAAAAATATTTATTTTCAATTCACAATCTGTAGAAACAATGAGAATAGAAAGGTTCAGAACTTTTGTAAGACAGTACAGTTGAAATATATATGGCAAATAGAAATCCTATATGTATGGTGTTAAAAGATAGATGGGAGTTGTTGAATGGAATTGAAGGATGGGACTAATAACAACTAACAACAATAATAACAAGATAACTAATTATGTAAGCATACTGTGTCCATAATAAGTATATAGGTTGTAGGTTGTGAGCTTTTGTGAAAGAGCACAGTTAGAAAGATATGGCATAAGAAGCTAAACGGATGGACATCATGAAAATGATCGGAGAGGTTGAGAGTAGAAGAAGTTCAGGAGAAAAAACAAACAAAATATAATTATTGTAAAATTGACTGTGTCCATAAAATGTAGATGATAGGTATAAGCTGGAAGTAGAGGCCTAAGCATTGTTGTTCACTAGTTTACTCCAAGTAGGGAAAGGGTGGCAGTGTCCTGGCTAAATTCCCAATCTGGCCTCATACCGTCATGGCCACATAATCATCCCCAGCTTCCAATTGGCTCATTCATCCCCCTTCCTCTCCCCTGTAACTATTCCCCAGGTTGTTGCTGTAAATGAGAATGGGTTCTCAGTCAACTTACCTGGTAAAATAAGGGATGGATAAATAAATAAATCAGCAAGATAGAGTGAAGGAGGAAGACAGAGGCAGTGTAGAGAGAGTGAGAGGGAATGAGCCATACCCAGCCATCACCATGTCGAGACATGTCTTGAGACGTCTTAAGACATATAAATGAAGACGTCTTTAAGACTGTCAATAGACACGTCTTGGAAATACCAATGTCTTGAGACATCAGTCTCTCTAATAATTAATTGTTGTTTTCAGGTTTTATTAGTTATTGATACCAATCACCCACTCTAGAACTCTTATGCACCTCCATAGCACAAATTGTACTGCACACCAAATCAAAGTAATTAAGATTTATTGACCAAAATAACAATTTCAGATGCAACAAAATAACTTTTGGTAAAGGCGATATAGAGCTCCAAGCAACGCCGATCTTCAAGTCTTTACAGACAGATAGTCATCTCTTGTTTGGGGATCTCAGATCTCAGAGCTGCTCTTCCTAAATCTTCAGGAAAATAAAATGTAATATACAGCAACATCAATAACAATACCACATCTACCCTACTATTTTCTTGTACTTTAATTATGATTAGCTCACTGTCCCTACTGTCCATAAGGGCTTAATGTTTGACACCAGATTGGATCCAAGCTTTATTGTATGTCCAGTCTGAAAATAGAACAAATCAGTTAATGACTCTGTTTTCATGGGAAGAAATTAACATTCTCACTTATATTTGCTGGGTGACAGCTTACCTTGATTGAGTTGAGTTGCTGACATGTCCACCATCCTCATATCCTGACAAAAGAGAAATAGGCCATGTTCATTACACAATAACTATCAAAGCACATGTAAAAACAAAAAGCAGATACAAGCATCCAGTCATAACTTCCCTCATCAGCCTATCCATGCATAGAGGTCAGCCCTCAACCTCTGTGAGATTGGCATCCCTGATCAATAAAACAAAACAACCAATAAATGCACCAGCCATACACCGGCCATTTATCTATAATTTATTTTGGGGATATACTTGTTGTAACATTTAGATGTATTCTCTAATAAAACTGCACAGAATTGCAGTCACCGGTTAGTACTCAACATTACAGTGCATTGCAAAAGTATTCATCCCGCTTGGCGTTTTTCCTATTTTGTTGCATTTCAACCTATATTTAAAAATATATATATTTGGATTTCATGTAATGGACATACACAAAATAGTCCAAATTGGTGAAGTGAAAAAAAAGAGAAAAAAAATCTAAAAAATAAATAACGGAAAAGTGGTGCGTGCATATGTATTCACCCCCTTTGCTATGAAGCCCCTAAATAAGATATGGTGCAACCAATTACCTTCAGAAGTCACATAATTAGTTAAATAAAATCTAAGTGTCGCATGATCTGTCACATGATCTCAGTATATATACACCTGTTCTGAAAGGCCCCAGAGTCTGCAACACCACTAGGCAAGGGCCACCACCAAGCAAGTGGCACCATGAAGACCAAGGAGCTCTCCAAACAGGTCAGGGACAAAGTTGGGCAGAAGTACAGATCAGGGTTGGGTTATAAAAAAATATCAGAAACTTTGAACATCCCACGGAGCATCATTAAATCCATTATTAAAAAATTGAAAGAATATGGCACCACAACAAACCTGCCAAGAGAGGGCCGCCCACCAAAACTCACAGACCAGGCAAGGAGGGCATTAATCAGAGAGGCAGCAAAGAGACCAAAGATAACCCTGAAGGAGCTGCAAAGCTCCACAGCGGAGATTGGAGTATCTGTCCATAGGACCACTTTAAGCCGTACACTCCACCGAGCTGGGCTTTATGGAAGAGCCATTGCTTAAAGAAAAAAATAAGCAAACACGTTTGGTGTTCGCCAATAGGCATGTGGGAGACTCCCCAAATATATGGAAGAAGGTACTCTGGTCAGATGAGACTAAAATTTAGCTTTTTGGCCATCAAGGAAAATGCTATGTCTGGCGCAAACCCAACACCTCTCATCACCCCGAGAACACCATCATGTTTTTCATCGGCAGGGACTGGGAAACTGGTCAGAATTGAAGGAATGATGGATGGCGCTAAATACAGGGAAATTCTTGAGGGGAAACCTGTTTCAGTCTTCCAAAGATTTGAGACTGGGACGGAGGTTCACCTTCCAGTAGGACAATGACCCTAAGCATACTGCTAAAGCAACACTGAAGTGGTTTAAGGGGAAACATTTAAATGTCTTGGAATGGCCTAGTCAAAGCCCAGACCTCAATCCAATTGAGAATCTGTGGTATGACTTAAAGATTGCTGTACACCAGCGGAACCCATCCAACTTGAAGGAGCTGGAGCAGTTTTGCCTTGAAGAATGGGCAACAATCCCAGTGGCTAGATATGCCAAACTTATAGAGACATACCCCAAGAGACTTGCAGTTGTAATTGCTGCAAAAGATGGCTCTAAAAAGTATTGACTTTGGGGGGATGAATAGTTATGCACGCTCAAGTTTTCTGTTTTTTTTGTCTTATTTCTTGTTCTTTCTTATTTTGCATCTTCAAAGTGGTAGGCATGTTGTGTAAATCAAATGATACAAACCCCCCAAAAATCCATTTTAATTCCAGGTTGTAAAATGCCAAGGGTGGTGAATACTTTCGCAAGCCACTGTATGTCTCAAGATGTCTTAAGATACACAACCCATGTCTCAATAGTCTCAAGGCTTAAAAATCTTTCTTTAATCTGTCTCCTCCCCTTCATCTACGCTGATTTAAAGTGGATTTAACAGGTGACATCAATAAGGGATCATAGCTTTCACCTGGATTCACCTGCTTAGTCTATGTAATGGAAAGAGCAGGAGTCCTTAATGTTTTGTATACTCGGTGTTCAATATTATAGAATAATGCATAGAGTGGCTAATTTGCTCATATTTACAAAGGCCTGCCTGTGATTTTGCTGGATGAATGTGGAGGAAGGAATATACAGTACATGCATAATGATCTGCATGTCCAAAAAAAAATGTCATTGTGGCAGTATGGGGAAAACACTGCATGAAACCTTCTACTGTTCAGTTAACACACACACTCTCCTCCCTCACACACTCTCTCTGTCTCCCTCTCTTTCATAAACACACACACAAATCCACTCTCTCTCACAAAGATACACAGACTGCTCCCAACTTTAAAAACATTAGGCACTGAACAGAATGTAAGGAGCACCAGAAATATATATATTTTTATATATATAGTTAGGCCTACAGTGCCATCAAAGTATTCACACCCCTTAACTTTTTCCATATTTTGTTGTGTTTACAGCCTGAATAAAAAATGGTTGTCGTTGGCCTACACACAATACCCGATAATGTCAAAGTGGAATTCTGTTTTTCTAAAGTTTTACTAATTAACTAAAAATGAAAAGCTTAAATGTCTTGAGTCAATAAGTTTTCAACCCCTTTGTTATGGCAAGCCTAAATAAGTTCAGGAGTAAGAATTTACTTAACAAGTCACATAATAAGTTGCATGGACTCACTCTGTGCAATAATAGTGTTTAACCAGATTTCTAACCAGATTTTTTAATGACTTCCTCATCTCTGTACCCCACACATACAATTATCTGTAAGGTCCTTCAGTCGAGCAGTGAATTTCAAACACCAATTCAACCACAAAGACAAGGGAGGTTGTCCAATGCCTCGCAAAGAAGGGCACCTATTGGTAGATACAAAAATAAATAAAAATAAAAAAGAACATTGAATATCCCTTTGAGCATGGTAAAGTTATTAGTAACACTTTGGATGGTGTATCAATACACCCAGTCACTACAAAGATACAGGCGTCCTTCCTAACTCAGTTGCCGGAGAGGAAAGAAACCACTCATGGATTTCACCATGAGGTCAATGGTGAGAGAAAATATTTACATAGTTTAATGGCTGTGATAGGAGAAGACTGAGGATGGATCAACAACATTGTAGTTACTCCACAATACTAACCCTAATTGACAGAGTGAAAAGAAGGAAGCCTGTACAGAATACAAATATTCCCAAACATGCATCCTGTTTGCAACAAGGCACTAAAGTAATAATGCAAAAAATGTGGCAAAGCAATTAACTTTTTGTCCTGAATACAAAGTGTTATGTTTGGGGTAAATCCAATACAACACATTACTGAGTACCGCTCTCCATATTTTCAAGCATAGTGGTGGCTGCATTATGTTATGGGTATGCTTGTAATTGATAAGGACTGGGGAGTTTTTCAGGATAAAAAAGAAACAGAATGGCGCTAAGCACAGTCAAAATCCTAGAGGAAAACCTGGTTCAGTCTGCTTTCCACCAGACACCGGGAGATAAATTCACCATTCAGCAGGATAATAACCTAAAACACATGGCCAAATATACACTGGAGTTGCTTACCAAGAAGACAGTAAATGTTCCTGAGTGGCCAAGTTAAAGTTTTGACTTAAATCTGCTTGAAAATCTATGGCAAGACTTGAAAATGGTTGTCTATCAATGGTCAACAACCATTTTGACAGAGCTTGAATAATTTAGAAAATAATAATGGCAAATATTGTACGATCTAGGTGTGCAAAGCTCTTAGAGACTTACCCAGAAAGACTCACAGCTGTAATCACTGCCAAGGGTGATTCTAACATCTATTGACTCAGGGTTGTGAATACTTGTGTAAATTAAATATTTCAATATTTTATTAGAAATACATTTGCAAAAACATTTTTTAACATGTTTTCACTTTGTCATTATGGGGTATTGTGTGTAGATAGGTGAGAAAAAATATATATTTACTCCATTTTGAATTCATGCTCTAACACAACAAAATGTGGAATTAGTCAATAGGTATGAATACTTTCTGGAGGCACTGTATATGAATGCTACCTTTGAAACACATCTCATGAGTAGCAGACCCTTTTCTTTTCTTCCTGTGCTAACCAAATATGCCTAGACCTACTGTCAAGTTACTAGGTTGTTAGCTAGCTAGGTAACATGACTGAACAACGTTGTTTGTTATCAAACCAATAATTAGCGGGTCGGGATTAGTTTAAAACGGCCCCCAACGTGGTTTGTGAAATTGTATCAAATGCGCGTGAAATCTCGCAGGAAGAAAAAAAGATTGCTCTGATTATAGCCTTTTTTATGATTATTTTTTTGAGCTAGAGACATGCCGTTTTCTATGCTATAATGCTGCAAGCATGCCTGTCGCGAAGCTGTTTTTCCTGTCTGGCACTGCTGCATGACAGCGAACTTGAAAAGCCTACTCAGACTGGCCTGTGCTCTTGGTTATACCAGGGATTAATTTATATACAATGTATCAACTTTGCTTGCTCTGCGCCAATGTAACAACAGAAGACTGATCAGGGTCTCCATCCCCGCTCACCATCACAGCTAAATTATATTTAATTACATTATTGGACCGGTGCATACAAGAGACTAGTTCCTGTTGCTTCAAAAATTTACGTGAATATATCAAAAACAGACTTTATAAACTTTTTTTATATTTTTATAACAGGCGCCAGGGGGTTCTTTAGATCGGTGGGGCCGGAAAAGTTGGTAGTATCATATGAAACGGTACTCTAAAATGTTGGTATCATAAGTATCATGATGTTTTGGTACTGTGATATTATTGGTACCGGTATACCTTGCAACAGTCCAACCGGGAACATGCATTGCCCAAAGTGAGAGCAAATGCGCACTGCTTCACAGCAACAGGAAGTGAGCCAAGGTGAGGAGGGGGAGCGACCGTGTCCCCCCCTGCTTGTTGATGTATGCCACCATCGTCATGTTGTCGGATCTGACCAGCACATGCCGGCCCGACAAACACAGGAGGAGGCGCCTGAGCGCCATGTACATTGTCAGAAGTTCCAGGTAATTGATATGCCAGGCACTCTGTGACACCGTCCATACTCCCCGAATTGAGTAACCCTCGCACAGTTCGCCCCACCCTGTCGTGACCATATTGTGGAACAACACCTGGCCCATGAGTACCCCTTGCGACAGTAGCCAGGGACCCCTCCACTTGGCCAGTGCTCAAAGGCATGTCGGGGACACCTGAATGACCGGTTTCGGTGGCGAGATGAATCCAAGCGTGTGGCTAGCACACAGCGCTGGAACAGCCGCATAAATAATAGTCCCAGGGGAATGACCACTATCATAGACGCCATCATCCCCAGTAGGTGCAGGAACATGCAAAAACGTACTGTGGTCCCCAACTGAAATTGGGCCAAGTTGAGCTGGAACCCAGAAACCCTCTCCGGGGATAGAAAAGCGCAATTTACGCATGAGCCTACCTCGAGACCCAGGAATGGAATATACAGCAATGGGGTTAGACAGCTCTTTTTCTGGTTTACAGTAAAACCTAGAGACTGGAAATGGGACACCAGCCTGGATGTGTGTAACACTGCTTGTTCCCATTACTCTGCTGCTATCAGCCAACACCCTCAGCCCCTGGCCCCCCAGAAACTTTCTGTAACTGGGGTACATGGGCACATGAAAGTACGCATCCTTTAAGTTGATGGTGATGAACCAACCGCCGGGACGCACAAACCGTAACAGCCGTTGGATTGTGAACATTTTGGATATGCGAACTCTGAGATGCTTGCTAAGGACACAAGTCTAGAACGGGGCGTAAAGAGGATATTCCCTACCTCAAAATGGGCACTGAGTCCTCAGGAACAGTTGAAGTGATGACGCCGCAGAAGCATGGGGGACGCGCAGCAAATTGTAACCTGTACACCGATGTCACTGTTCGCATGATCCAGAGCAACATTGTGCATGCACGCCATTGGTTGGAGCAGACAGCGAGCCTCCCATAAAGTGCCATCTGAAGGGGTGGGACGCCACCTTGTGGACTGGGAGAGAATTGTTATTTTTCCCTTTCCAGCATTCTCGACCACCATGTGTCTGAATGTGGAGAAGGGACACTTTTCATTGCACCCACGTGGGAGACACAACACTTTTGATACCCATGAACACAGTGGAACTTTGGGTTGATGCAACTGTGTTTATGTGCCAAGGTTTGCCTGAAGCCCGGTCCATAAGATTGATATACCCCTTGAACCCCGTGAACACCATGGAACGTGGGGTAACAGAGGGGCTTTAAACATGGACAAGTTTCCAAACTAAGTTGTGCTTCCGTGAGACTGAATAGCCTGGAAGAAGCCCGGCCCCTAATGGACACAGGGGTCTCTGGTAATGGCTGACGTAGCACCCCGTTTGGCTGTAACCAAATGTGGGGCCACTGACGTCACAGTAATGCTATGGCCCCTCGCTCCAGGGGTTACCCGAGTCCAATGCTCAGAGGCTACTTCCTCATCGGAGGTGCCCGCAAAACCCGCTTCCTTCACTCTCCAACTCCAGGAATTGGAAATAGGAATGTGATTGCCATCACGCCGGGGGAAAGCTAGTAATCTTCATTTGCCGGAAGTTATGCATGCTAGCTGACGTGATGAGGCTTCTAGTCTAAGCCAGGCTAGCTAGCCTCTTTGACCGCAGCATGGTCCATTTTAGAATAACGAATCGACTTAATGCTAGCTACGTATACTAAACAAGAGAGCTACCTAAGCAATTCAACTGTTAGGAAGCTGGAATAGCTAGCAGTAGCTAGCTTGCCTCTTCGAGTTATCTAACCTGGCTAGAACACTATGCAGTGCTTGTTAGCTAGCCTGGTCTCGGAAAGTCTACATCGGACCGGATCACCGAGGTGGGGCCCTGACCCTTCTGGGAAGAGAGGCAAGCGGTGCTTAACAAAGGCAAACACAGGCGGCAGGGGATACCCACAGAACCTGTTCGCTCTTCTTCGAGGAGCCTCCCGTAACCGGCGACAGAGTGCACAGGAGCCAGGAGACATTCGACCTGACCAAAGACCCAATCCATCTACACGTCAGACTCAGCCGAGGTCAGAACCCCGGGAGAGAAAGTCACTATCGGAAACACCAAGCCCCCTGAAGAATGCTACACGATTGTCAACAGAACCTGCGCCACGGAACTAGTAGGGGAACAGGGGTCCGCTAGTCTCCCACATGAACTGATTCGAGTGACGGCAGCCTGAGCATGCACTGAGCCAAGACATACAAGACAACAAACGTGAGTATCTTTTAATTCATTGGGGCATGGTTGTCGAACCTGACCCTGGCTTGCTCGCCTTTGTCGTTTTGGTTACTTATTGCTATAGCCAGGCCAAGCAACTTGAAGAATAACTAATGTAGCTCAGTTGGTAGAGCATGGCGCTTGCAACGCCAGGGTTGTGGGTTCGATTCCCACGGGGAGCCAGTATGAAAAAATGTATGCACTCACTAACTGTAAGTCGCTCTGGATAAGAGCGTCTGCTAAATGACTAAAATGTAAATTATTAGGAAGCTTATGAAAACCCTAGAAACTTCAGCACACAACGCCCAGCAGGTGAGCATGCTCTACCACTATCAGACAGTTTAGTTGGTACAACGTAAGACAGTCCCTTGTTCCAATTGGTTGTTTTAGTAGCATGAATCGTTCCTGTTCACACCGAGGTGAAGAGCGGAATAATTAAAGGAGCGAATCCGAGCTTCACGCTTATCACCTGTGGAAGCCGGTGCTTCCAGCGAGGCACGGATTTCAATGGCCGTGTCAGGCGTGATTGTAGATCCTTCAACTGAAGTCACGAGGGTGTGACTCCCCATAGTATATTGTAGCAAAGTTGACTGCCTGAAAGGGAACTCATACTTTCCCTTCAAAATTTGACGTATTATGGATGAAAGTATATTTTTGACGCATTAATTCCACGTGGTTACAAGCGTTAAAACAGAAACAACTCAAAGGTTAACAGTTTAGGTATTCATTCCGAGTGGTTAAGGTCAGGGCTATGGTTTGTATCATCAACATTCTTGCTGCTTGCTAGAGCATTGTGAACTGCTGTAGCGCAGTGGTCTGAGCATCACGCTTTGGCTCTGAGCATCACAAGTTTGCGCCCAGTACTGGGCAATCGTTTTTTTTTTTTTTTTTGGTGAGCGTCGAGGAAGGCATTAATCGACGTTCTCAGGACCTTTTCAAACGTCCGAAATCTAAGTCTATTTCTAGTGATCAGGCTGCTTGAGACACAGGCTGTGTCTCAAGACATGTCTTCAAAATGTGTCTTGAGAACAAAGGTGTCTCAAGACGTCATGAGACATCTCCATTGCGTGTCTCAAGACGTCGCCAAACAAAGGCGATGGCTGGGTATGAGTTAAGGGAAGAGAGAGAGAAACCGGGGAGAAAGAGAGACGGGGGAATAAAGGGAGAGAGGAAGAAAGTCGCGGATAAGAGCGTCTGCTAAATGACTAAAATGGAGAGAGAGAGAGAGAGAGAGAGCGAGGTTAAAGGGATGAAGAGAGGCTGTGTGTGTGATCTCTACTCTTCTGAGTGACCTCGACACCGCCTCTACACATTACTCACACAGAAATTACAAGATTATGCTATAATACTGTTATTGTATCAAATGGTTGTTTTCTGCAATAGAATAGGGTTCTTAGAACTCTCATGTGTCTGTGTTAACACTGACAGTAGATTTACGATGCCTTAGGTGATAAAACCTACAGCAGGCATTCCATAGAATGAGTTGGTGTTTGTGTAATGAGGTACCAGGGAGAGATGGCTCGGGTATGGATAATGATGAGAGGAACCTTGTCTTAGGGGCCAAACTCTGGTTTCTGTACAATAAGAACAGTATTCATAGCAAATGCTATCTGTCTGGGGGATACTCCTTTCTCATATATCAAGTCTCCCCTTGTGACCCATTCCATACATCTGTTGTTTGTCATGTAGACTAAGAGGGTGTATCTTTGCTATAAAAGATCTTTGTATTCTTTGTGTCGGGGCTCTCAGCCAACAGTGAAGACTGTTGAGCCGACCAGCCTCGTTTATTGCCTTATTGATACGTTTTGAATAAAGTAATATCCTGATTGGTGATTGACCCTGTCGCTCCTCATTATTGATTAAAATTCCCACTACAACACACACACACACCGGCGGCATTACTCATGCTCGAGTAAAGATGATCTCATACACACACACGCTACAACCCTCTAGGGAATGGGGATATACCCACTCAAGGGCAATAAGAAGTGCCTGGGGTGGGGGTGGTAGTGGGGTGGTTGGTTGGTTATTCAGTTGTACTGGTTTATTAATGGGGCGAGAGAGATGAGAGAGAGAGATGACAGAGAGATGAGATGAGAGGAAGACCGGAGTGTGTGAATATTTTGTTTACAGGGAAAGCGTAATGATTACTGACATGCTTACTGTTGAGACCTGATGTACTTATACAACTCACTACTCTCACTCACTCACTCACTCACACACACACACACACACACACACACACACACACACACATTGTCCGGGACATTGAAGTGGTCTGTGTAATAGAGTGCCAGGTTCGATTACAACTGTGTTGAAAAAGAGAGGGAGAGGAAGAAAGATGGAGTGGGCTAGTGACCTGTCTGTCCTCTCTCTATCTGTTAGGATGACAGGCACGGCTCAATTGGGACAAACCAAACAACCAGCACACACACACATAAAGGGAGCTCATCATCACGTTTCATTTGTGCCCTGGTTCCCTTTTTCCATCTCAGTTGGCAGGCAGTATGTGTCTCTGTGTGTTTTCTCCGGTCAGTGCTGTGGAAGTCAGCCATTCCACACACTCTCACACACTTCCAAGATAATCACCGTCACAATTACTATCACATAGATAACTGGCATGATATCTTCTCACACACACATATATACACACACACACACATACACACTGGTCTGACACACATCACACACCGTCACAGTTAAAATCCCAGGGCAGAAGAGGCCATGGACCAAATACAGAACAGCTCTCAGAAGAGAGAGAGAGAGGAGCTACAGTTCCATCTCATGTGTAGCTTATTTGGAGAGAGGGAGGCAGAGAAAGAAAGGGAGAAGAGAGAGTTCTTCACAGCAGAGTTTTTCCGTCTCTTTCCACAAGGACATTGTGCTCCCCTATCATGTGATAGTTGCATTCCAAATGGCGTACTATTCCCTTTATAGTGCACTACTTTCAACCAGGGTCCATAGGGATCTGGTCAAAAGTAGTGCACTATAGGGAACAGGGTGCCATTTGGTACACATTCAGGGGCTCTCCAAATTCTGTCCTCTCACCAGTGATATGACAGCCCAGCAGTAGCAGCACAAGCTGTGGCAGTTAGCACTGTGCCAACCATTCCGGCCCATTGGACCCTGCACGGATCCCAGTCGCACTGACACGAAGCAGCTTGACAGGCAACTGGGCCGCGGGGGCCCGACAATGTTAACAGAGCCAGTCACTCAGCTCAGTTCAGTTACACTAACACTGATTACAGATCAGATCACTGTCTCTAAGTCAGTGGGGAAAGTTATCTCTGTGGCCTAGAGGCTGATTAGAGGTAAGTTTGTATTAATTAATCACAGTAGATATCAGATCTGGCTGTCTGATTGAGTTGATTAGTTTGTGTGTCTTGCAATATCATGGCTTCTGTGATGCTCACTTTGATTTATCCTTTGCCTGTGCTTCTTTTCACCCTCCCTACTTATCTTTCTTCCTTTATGTCTAACTCTCCTTCTACCCTTCCTTTTTTGTCATCCTGTCAATCCAAATGCCTCCCTCCCTCCCTCTCACCTTGTCCTCTATCTGTCTCGCTTTCTCTCTCTCTCTCTCTCTCTCTCTCCCTCCTTCTCTTCCTCCTTCCCTCCTTCCTTTTTCTCTACCTCTCCTTACACCTCCCTCTCCATCTCTCTCCCCGAGGTGAATCACCATGCCATTGGTAAAATGCAGTATAGAGGACAGACACCTGTGTCTCTCTCTCTCTCTCTCTGTCCATTTCTCACTCTTTCTTGTACTTCTCTCTCCCCATAGATAAACCATGCCGTTGGTAAAGCGCAGTATAGAGCCTAGACACCTGTGTCGAGGTGCAGTACCCGATGGAGTCACCAGTGAACTGGAGTGTGTTACCAACAGCACCCTCGCTGCCATCATCAAACAGCTTGGCAGCCTTAGTAAGTTGTGTGTGTGCGCGCGCGTAGGGGAGGATAGAGAGGTGTGTGGGTGGGGTGGGGGGGGGTTATGTGTGTGACTGTGTGTGTGTGTGAAATAAACACATCAGTGAAGGGCAGGAGAGAGACAGATAGCAGCATGGTTTTAACATGTGAGGCCATGTTCCGTGCTCCTATTGGTCTGGTCTGTGCCTCCTAGTGTTATCCTGATCTCCTATAGGGTTATCCTGTATGCTGATCAGGTATGCTATAGAGGTTCAGAGTGTGACTCTCTACTGTAGAGATGGGAATAGATTAACTTGACTTTCTGACCCAGACACCTGTAGATAATAATAATGGACACTTACCAGTAGTCTGACTCTTGAAGCTAATGCTAATTGTCAGTATTTGTGGCTCTACATTCCCCCAGCTTTGCCCTATGGCTTCTATGGGATAGCAGCAATATCTAAAGACTTAGTGTCTAAGGAGATATTATGTATTTATTAAATTGGAATAAACACGCTGTTAGGCAGAGTGGCAGTTAGTCATACCAGTAGCCTCTGCACAAGTGGTTGCTAATGTGTACTCTTTAGTGTAGAATCCCTTGCATAGTGGAGTAAGTACACCTTGTTATTGTGGTCTAAAGGTATTCCTTTGACAGAGAAGCTTCATTAGACTAAAAGACAACTCAGACCTCCACCACCTATCCACCCTAGAGACAATGACTGAAGTGCACTTTGAAACCACCTTCACTCTGTGTTAGACTACATTATTGATGTGTGGTACAATATGTCTATATGTATCAGTGCTATAACAATGAGAAGTCCTTATATCTAAACAATAACCTGACATAGCACCCAGCAATGTTACAGTAGGTGCTGTTGTTTTAATTTATATTGTTATATCTTCCACTGGGGATATGCAGGGTCCCTTGACAAGGTACACACACACACACTGTGGGGCAGGCAGACTATAATGTATTGTTCTCTGCTAGATGTCAGACAGTAGCTCTGCAGGGGGCACAACACCCTGCAGTGAGACGATGGAGAATCCCTGCCCATTGATTAAGTTGTGTGTGTGTGTGTGTGTGTGTGTGTTTGTGTTATCCTGTGTACTAATGTGTCTCTTCAATCTGCAGGTCGTCATGCGGAGGACATCTTTGGAGAGCTGTTCAACGAAGCCAACAGCTTCTACATGAGAATGAACAACCTACAGGAGAGAGTAGACCTACTGGCTGTCAAAGTCACCCAGCTAGACTCCACCGTGGAAGAAGGTGTGTTTTCATCTTACTTTGTCACCTGACAAAGTATGTTGGTACATGGGATAAAGCATAGCAGCAGCTGCAGCAACATATCACCTGCACCCGCTTCACTGAGTGAATGCAGCTGTCTGTGTTGCAGCGGTGAGGTTTTCCCCAGTGCTGGTGTGATTGAATGAAGCCACTCTGTCTGTGGTGGAATTTGGAATGTGCATATGATCGGTAAATGCTAAATGGCATGCTTGTGACGACCCAACTCTGACGTCACCCCATTGAAGTTGATTTAATTTAAAACGGTTAAGGTAAGGGTTAAGTAAGGGTTATGGTTAAGGTCAGGGTTAGGATTTAGGGTAGGGTTGTCCCAAGGATCCCACTTAGCATCCACCATATGATCTAGATTGAGTGTGTACTGTGCTATCCCACATAGAAAATACTACAGTTTAATATAAAATACTAAAGTACTTAGTATAAAATTATATATTATTGTGTAGTATACTGTAGAATACTATACCCCACACTGCAGTATTCCTCAATCATGTAGTGCTTACTACATAATTTTGTAGTATACTGTAGAATATTATACTCCACACTGTAGTATCCCTCGATCGTGTAGTGCTTACTATAGTATTTTTTAGTATACTGTAGAATACTATACTACACAATGCCCTCGCCCACCTGGATAAGAGGAACACCTAGTGCACCATAGTGCCCGCCAAGCTCATCACCAAGCTTTCCCAAAAACACTATAGTGAATACTATAGTATATAAATATAGTAATACTACAGTATACTATAGTATTTTTTCATGTGGGCTGCTACAGTGGTGTGAGCTGTACTGTGCCTTAGCTGCAGTGGATTAGTGAAGTGACCCAGCTTTTCTTACAGAGATTCAGGAGGGATGAAACACAAACACAGACACGCACAAGCACGCGACACACACACACACACACACACACACACACACACTGGATTCAGGAGGCATGAGCTGATCACCTGAGAGAGAAGCACTGTATTACACGACTAATAATAACTGTGCCTCTATCATATCCTCCTCTCTTTTCTCCTACACCTGTCCTCCACCTTTCTATTCCCTGTTTTCCCCTCTTCTCTCTGGCTCCCCCTCTTTTGTCCTTTTTCTTTCATATCATATTTCACCCCTTTCCTCTTCATATAGTATTTATTCTCCTCTTCGCTCTTATAGTTTTTTCTCCCCATCTGATCCTCTTCTCTCCTGTCTCCTACTCACCCATTCCACCCATCTATCCATCCATCCATCCATCCAGTCCCCATAGGAATGCATTGTCTCTTCAGCCACATAGAGAAGCACTGTATTGGCAACGCATAGGGATGTGATGGTTAAGCACTCTGTGTGTGTGTGTGTTATGAACTCACGACTGTCTGACCTTCAAACGAACCAGCCACGCGCGTTTGTGTGTCTGCTGACCTTTTTCTAGCCTGTAGAGGTGTTCGACTCAAGGGATAGGGGTGAGTGCTTTTTAAAGTGTGTGTGCGCACATGTGGGTACGATTGTTTATGCGTGCATGGGTGCGTGTTTTGAGTTGTGGTTGTTGTGCCTGTGTGTGTATTTGGGTTTTGACTCTGGCTTTGTGGTTGGCTGCTTGAATGTTTTGGCAGGTGTTTGTGTGCGTGTGTGTGTCAGCAGCTTTCCTCCTTCAGAATAGCCTCAGTATATCTTTAATGGCTGATTTGCTCATCGATGAGCCTCGTGCTGTGCTTTCATATTTGTCTGTCTGTGTGTGTGTGTGTGTGTGTGTGTGCGGGTGTGTGTGCGCATGTGTGTGTGGTTTCTGTGTGTATGCGTGTGTGTCTGAGTCCCGCTGACAGATGTAAAGACAGACGAAGGGACAGATGTCTGCAAGGATACATGGGGTAACATGGGAGGGAGGTATTTGTATTTATTAGGGATCCACATTAGCTGCTGCCAAGGCAGCAGCTACTCTTCCTGGGGTCCAAACACATTAAGGCACTTACATCACACATAAAACCAAATATAAAACAGTACATATACAATTATTTTACCACTACATACACTATATATACAAAAGTATATGGACACCCCTTCAAATGAGTGGATTCGGCTATTTCAGCCACACCCGTTGCTGACAGGTGTATAAAATCGAGCACACCGCCATGCAATCTCCATAGACAAACATTGGCAGTAGAATGGCCGTACTGAAGAGCTCAGTGGCTTTCAACATGGCACGGTCATAGGATGCCACCTTTCCAACAAGTCAGTTCGTCAAATTTCTGCCCTGCTAGAGCTGCCCCGGTCAACTGTAAGTGCTGTTATTGTGAAGTGGAAACATCTAGGAGCAACAACGGCTCAGCCTTGAATTGATAGGCCACGCAAGCTCACAGAACGGGACTGCCGAGTGCTGAAGCACGTAAGAATCGTCTGTCCTCGGTTGCAACACTCACTACCCGAGTTCCAAACTGCCTCTGGAAGCACAAGAACTGTTCATCGGGAGCTTCATGAAATGGGTTTCCATGGCCGCACACAAGCCTAAGATCACCATGCGCAATGGAGTGGTGTAAAGCTGGAGTGGTGTAAAGCTCACCGCCATTGGACTCTGGAGCAGTGGAAATGCGTTCTCTGGAGTGATGAATCACGCTTCACCATCTGGCAGTACAACGGACGAATCTGGATTTGGTGGATGCCAGGAGAACGCTACCTGCCCCAATGCGTAGTGCCAACTGTAAAGTTTGGTGGAGGAGGTATAATGGTCTGGGGCTGTTTTTCATGGTTCGGGCTAGGCCCCTTAGTTCCACTAAAGGTAAATCTTAACGCTACAGCAAACAATGACATTCTAGACATTTCTGTGCTTCCAACTTTGTGGCAAGAGTTTGGGGAAGGCCCTTTCCTGTTTCAGCATGACAATGCCCCTGTGCACAAAACGAGGTCCATACAAAAATGGTTTGTCAAGATCGGTGTGGAAGAACTTGACTGGCCTGCACAGAGCCCTGACCTCAACCCCATCGAACACCTTTGGGATGAATTGGAATGCCGACTGCTAGCCAGGCCTAATCGCCCAACATCAGTGCCAGACCTCACTAATGCTCTTGTGGCTGAATGGAAGCAAGTCCCCACAGCAATGTTCCAACATCTAGTGGAAAGCTTTCCCAGAAGAGTGGAGGCTGTTATAGCAGCAAAGGGGGGACCAACTCCATATTAATGGCCATTATACAAAATGTATAATACCACCATACAACAATATTACAATGTATGTGAGTGTAGATTGCATGTGCTAGCGTTTGTGTGCATATGCGTGTGTCTGTACCTGTTTGTGTGTCTCTTCACAGTCCCTGCTGTTCCATAAGTTGTATTTTTATCAGTTTTTTTTAAATCTGATTCTACTGCTTGCATCAGTTACCTGATGTGGAATAGAGTTCCATGTAGTCATGTCTCTATGTAGTACTGTGCGCCTCCCATAGTCTATTCTGGACTCGGTGCATTCAGCTTGTCAAAACTTCTTACAAAAACAAATAGTGATAAAGTCAGTCTTTCCTCCACTTTGAGCCATGAGAGATTGACATGCATATTATTGTTAACTTTCTGTGTACATTTAAAGTCCAGCTGTGCTGCCCTGTTCTGACCTAATTGTAATTGACCACAAGACTGAACAGTAGTCCAGGTGCGACAAAGCTAGGGCCTGTAGGACCTGCCTTGATGATAGTGTTGTTAAGAAGGCTTAGCTACTGTTGTGTCAGCATGTTTTGACCTTGACAGTTTACAATCCAGGGTTACTCCAAGCAGTTTAGTCACCTCAACTTGCTCAATTTCCACATTATTAATGACAAGATTTAGTTGATGTTCAGGGTTTAGTGAATGATTTGTCTCAAATACAATGCTTTTAGTTTTTGAAATATTTAGGACTAACTTATTCCTTGCCACCGATTCTGAAACTAACTGCAGCTCTTTGTTAAGTGTTGCAGTCATTTCAGTCGCTGTGGTAGCTGACGTGTATAGTGTTGAGTCATCCATATACATAGACACACTGGCTTTACTCAAAGCCAGTGGCATGTCGTTAGTAAAGATTGAAAAAGTAAAGGGCCTAGACAGCTGTCCTGGGGAATTCCTGATTCTACCTGGATTTTGTTGGAGAGACTTCCATTAAAGAACACCCTCTGTGTTCTGTTAGACAGGTAACTCTTTATCCACAATATAGCATGAGGTGTAAAGCCATAACACATACGTTTTTCCAGCAGCAGACTATGATCGATAATGTCAAAAGCTGCACTGAAGTCTAACAAAACAGCCCCCACAATATTTGTATCATCAATTTCTCTCAGCCAATCATCAGTCGTTTGTATAAGTGCTGTACTTGTTGAATGTCCTTCCCTATAAGCATGCTAAAAGTCTGTTGTCAATTTGTTTGCTGTAAAATAGCATTGTATCTGGTCCAACACAATTTTTCCAAAAGTTTACTAAGAGTTGGTAACAGGATGATTGGTCGGCTATTTGAGCCAGTAAAGGGGGCTTTACTATTCTTAGGTAGCAGAATTACTTTTGCTTCCCTCTAGGCCTGAGGGCACACACTTTCTAGTTGGCTTAAATTGAAGATATGGCAAATAGGAGTGGCGATATCGTCCAGTATTATCTTCAGTAATTTTCCATCCAAGTTGTCAGACCCCGGTGGCTTGTCATTGGTGATAGACAACAATACTTTTTTTCACTTTACGGAATTGGAAATTACGATGCTTGTCTTTCATAATTTGGTCAATTATACTTCGATGTGTAGTTTTGGCGTTTGTGTGTGTGTGTGTGTGTGTGTGTGTGTGTGTGTGTGTGTGTGAGTGTGAGAGAGACTCAGTATTCGTCCATTTGGAAGACTTGGTGGTGTCAGTGTGTCTGAATGAAAAGCCACTCACTGCTTAAAAGAGGATTTCAGACACTGCTTCTGTGGCCCTAGAGGCTCAGTCTGTCTGCTTTCTGTGAGCTTTGAACAGTGTGAGCGGTGAGGATATGGCTTAGTCACTCTGCTCTGAAGTAGCAACAACAACATAGAGAAGGATGAAAGGAGGTAGCTACTACATCTCTCCTTCTTGTATTTCCTCTCTTCCCCAACAACCCTTGTCCTCCCTTCATTCCCTTATTGTCTACATCCTCCCTCTCACTTTCTCATCCTCCTTCTCTCCTTATCCCCTCACGCCTTGTCCTCCCCCCTCCAAAGAGAGAGACAGACTAGGAGGAGGGAGGGAGGATGGGTAATTAATAGTTTATGAGATGCACCACTCTCTTTCAGTTTCCTCATCAGCTGACTGGCATAGGAGTGGGGAGGTAGAAAGAGATAGTGAGAGAAAAAGACAAAGGACAAGAGATGGAGAGAGAGGGGAAACGAGAGAGGAAGACAGAGGGGCAAGGAGAGAGCAGACAGGAGACAGGAAAAGCTGAGAGAGAGGGGGAGGGAAGAAGAGAGAGAGAGAGAGAGAGAGAGAGAGAGGGCAGGCTCTTTGAAGAGGGGCTTTGGATTAAAGTAACATTAGCTAAGGTTCCATAATTCACATGGTCTCAAACACTATCAACATGCAGCTGGACATCACACACACACAAATTACAGGACATCACTTTTTATAATAGCGGTCCTTTGTAGCTCAATTGGTAGAGCATGGCACTTGTAACGCCAGGGTAGTGGGTTCGATCCCCGGGACCACCCATACGTAACAATGTATGCGCACATGACTGTAAGTCGCTTTGGATAAAAGCGTCTGCTAAATGGCATATTATATTATATTATAATGATGATCGCTGTAATTGTACTGTGTTTAACCTTTTTTTTGTGTGTGTAACATTTGAGTAACATATATTTAATTCATTTAGTAAGATGCATTGTTAGGTTTTGCAGTGCAGGCTCGCACACACACACACAGTAAAAATTAAGATACCTTAATAGAAAATGACTCAAGTAAAAGTGAAAGTCACCCAGTAAAATACTACTTGAGGTAGTATCTGGTTTTGAATGTACTTAAGTACAGTGGTGGGAAAAGTACTCAATTGTCATACTTGAGTAAATGTAAAAAGTAAATGCTATACATCAAATTCCTTATATTAACCAAACCAGACGCCACAATTGTCTTGTTTTTTATTTATGTACATGCAGCCAGGGTCACATTCCAACACTCAGGCATCATTTACAACCCCGGTATTTGTGTTTAGTGAGTCCGCAAGGTCAGAAGCAGTAGGGATGACAACGCGTTATATTATACAGTGCCTTCAGAAAGTATTCATACCCCTTGACTTATTCCACATTTTGGTGTTACAGCCTGAATTCAAAATTGATTAAATATTATTTTTTTCTCACCCATCTACACACAATACCCTATAATGACAAAGTGAAAACATGATTTTAGACATTTTTGCAAAGTATTGAAAATTAAATACAGAAATAATTCATTTACATAAGTATTCACACCCCTGAGTCAATGCATGTTAGAATCACCATTAGCAGCGATTAGAGCTGTGAGTCTTTCTGTGTAAATCTCTGAGAGCGTTCCACACCTGGATTGTACAATATTTGCAGATTATTCTTTTTTAAATTCTTCAAACTCTGTCAAGTTGGTTGTTGATCATTGCTAGACAGCCATTTTCAAGTCTTGCTATATATATATCAAGCTGATTTAAGTCAAAACTGTAACTAGGCCACTCAGGAACATTTAATGTTGTCTTTGCTACTGCAGTGTATATTTCACCTTGTGTTTTATGTTATTGTCCTGCTGAAAGGTCTCCCAGTGTCTGTTGGAAAGCAGACTGAAACAGGTTTTGTGCTTAGCTCTATTCCGTTTATTTTTATCAACAAAAAAAACCTAGTCCTTGCCGATGACAAGTTTACCCATAACATGATGCAGCCACCACCATGCTTGAAAATATGAAGAGTGTTACTCAGTGATGTGTTGTGTTGGATTTGCCCCAAACATAACACTTTGTATTCAGGATATAAAGTTCATTTCTTTGCCACATTTTTTGCAGTTTTACTTTAGTGCCTTATTGCAAATGCATGTTTTGGAATATATTTTTTTCTACACAGGCTTCCTTCTTTTTACTCTGTCATTTAGGGTTAGTATTGTGGAGTAACTACAATGTTGTTGATCCATCCTCAGTTTTCTCTTATCACAGCTGTTAAACTCTGTAACCGTTTTAAAGTTACGATTGGCCTCATGGGGAAATCCCTGAGCGGTTTCCTTCCTCTCCGGCAACTGAGTTAGGAAGGATGCCTGTATCTTTGTAGTGACTGGGTGTATTGATTCACCATCAAAAGTGTAATTAATAACTTACCCATGCTCAAAGGGATAGTCAATGTCTGCTTTTTTATACCCATTTACCAATAGGAGCCTTTCTTTGCGGGGTATTGGAAAACCTGCCTGATCATTTTATTTATTTATTTATTTTTTTTATTTTTTTTTGGGGGTGGGTAGATCAGCTTAATATTGCAGATACAGTGGGGGAAAAAAGTATTTAGTCAGCCACCAATTGTGCAAGTTCTCCCACTTAAAAAGATGAGAGAGGCCTGTAATTTTCATCATAGGTACACGTCAACTATGACAGACAAAATGAGATTTTTTTTTCCAGAAAATCACATTGTAGGATTTTTTAGGAATTTATTTGCAAATTATGGTGGAAAATAAGTATTTGGTCAATAACAAAAGTTTCTCAATACTTTGTTATATACCCTTTGTTGGCAATGACACAGGTCAAACGTTTTCTGTAAGTCTTCACAAGGTTTTCACACACTGTTGCTGGTATTTTGGCCCATTCCTCCATGCAGATCTCCTCTAGAGCAGTGATGTTTTGGGGCTGTCGCTGGGCAACACGGACTTTCAACTCCCTCCAAAGATTTTCTATGGGGTTGAGATCTGGAGACTGGCTAGGCCACTCCAGGACCTTGAAATGCTTCTTACGAAGCCACTCCTTCGTTGCCCGGGCGGTGTGTTTGGGATCATTATCATGCTGAAAGACCCAGCCACGTTTCATCTTCAATGCCCTTGCTGATGGAAGGAGGTTTTCACTCAAAATCTCACGATACATGGCCCCATTCATTCTTTCCTTTACACGGATCAGTCGTCCTGGTCCCTTTGCAGAAAAACAGCCCCAAAGCATGATGTTTCCACCCCCATGCTTCACAGTAGGTATGGTGTTCTTTGGATGCAACTCAGCATTCTTTGTCCTCCAAACACGACGAGTTGAGTTTTTACCAAAAAGTTCTATTTTGGTTTCAACTGACCATATGACATTCTCCCAATCCTCTTCTGGATCATCCAAATGCACTCTAGCAAACTTCAGACGGGCCTGGACATGTACTGGCATAAGCAGGGGGACATGTCTGGCACTGCAGGATTTGAGTCCCCGGCGGCGTAGTGTGTTACTGATGGTAGGCTTTGTTACTTTGGTCCCAGCTCTCTGCAGGTCATTCACTAGGTCCCCCCGTGTGGTTCTGGGATTTTTGCTCACCGTTCTTGTGATCATTTTGACCCCACGGGGTGCGATCTTGCGTGGAGCCCCAGATCGAGGGAGATTATCAGTGGTTTTGTATGTCTTCCATTTCCTAATAATTGCTCCCACAGTTGATTTCTTCAAACCAAGCAGCTTACCTATTGCAGATTCAGTCTTCCCAGCCTGGTGCAGGTCTACAATTTTGTTTCTGGTGTCCTTTGACAGCTCTTTGGTCTTGGCCATAGTGGAGTTTGGAGTGTGACTGTTTGAGGTTGTGGACAGGTGTCTTTTATACTGATAACAAGTTCAAACAGGTGCCATTAATACAGGTAACGAGTGGAGGAGAGAGGAGCCTCTTAAAGAAGAAGTTACAGGTCTGTGAGAGCCAGAAATCTTGCTTGTTTGTAGGTGACCAAATACTTATTTTCCACCATAATTTCCAAATAAATTCATTAAAAATCCTACAATGTGATTTTCTGGATTTTTTTCCCTCAATTTGTCTGTCATAGTTGACGTGTACCTATGATGAAAATTACAGGCCTCTCTCATCTTTTTAAGTGGGAGAACATGCACAATTGGTGGCTGACTAAATACTTTTTTTCCCCACTGTAGATTGTAACTTCCACCAATGTAATTGTCTGCATCACTTCCAATCCCCCATGTTTTTTACATATTTATTCCCCTTTATTACTTTTCAACCCCGCCATCCTTTCCCTACTTGGGGTAAATTAGTGAACAACAATGCCCAGGCCTCTACTTCCAGCCTATACTTACTATCTACACCTTATGGACACAGTCAATTTTACAATAATTCTATTTTATTTGTTTTTGCTCCTGAACTTCTTCTACTCTCAACCTCTCCGATCATTTTCATGATGTCCATCCGGTTTGCTTCTATATGCCATATCTTTCTAACTGTGCTCTTTCCCAAAAGCTCCCAACATACAACCTATATACTTATTATGGACACAGTATGCTTACATAATTAGTTATCTTGTTATTATTTGTTGTTATTTGTTATTAGTCCCATCCTTCAACTCCATTCAACACCTCCCATCTATCTCTTAACACCATCCATATAGGATTTCTATTTGCCATATATATTTCATCCGTACTGTGATGTTTTACAAAAGTTCTGAACCTTTCTATTCTCATTGCTTCTACAGATTGTGAATTAAAAATAAACATTTTTGCTAAAAGTATTATTATATTATTGATCGATTGACTATGACTTTTCAGAACACCCAGTAATGCTATCTGCAAGGTTAGCTCCAGGTAAATATTGCAATCCTTTAGCCAATCCTGGACCTGTGTCCAAAAACAAGCTACAAATGGACAGAACCAAAACAAATGATCTAATGATTCTGTCTCTTCACAGCAAAATCTGCAGAGCTGGGAAGATTTATCCCCCATATAAATAACCTTCTATTGGTAGCAAGATTTTTATATAATAATTTAAATTGAAAGATTCAAATTTTTGAATCCGGAGTCGTTTTGCGTATCAGTTCATAAACACTATGCCATGGGATCGGTACGTCAAAAATCTCTTCCCAACTATTTTGCAATCTATATGGGACGGCTGTCAATCCTTTGGTCCTGAAGTGAAACTGATATACTTTTTTATTTATCACAGTTTTCCTTAACCAATTATATTATTTAATGCAAGGCAGACAGACAAGTTCCTTACTTTCTCCCCCTTCCACTTTCCTCTTTCATTTTTGCGGTAAGGCTGCAATTATTTGGTTGTAATTTTGGGTAGAGCAGACATTTCCATATGTTTTTGTTAGCTGCATGTGCGACAACTCCACCAGTCCTACCGATGTTATCATTTACGAAGATTATACCTTTTTAAACATTCTGTCAAAAAATAAAGGTTTTTTGTCAATTAGTATATTTGAATTTAACCACAATATTTGTTGCATTATTTGTTCTGTCGTTTCTAGAGGATTAAATTGAAATTGCAACCGACTTTCTATGGCTTGTTTTAGAAATAGTGATATTTGGGAGATGATTTCCTTTTCAAATAACTGAAAATGAGTGGTTGTAATCTGAATAAAGGGAAAAAGGCCATTCTTGAACATTGGGGGAGACAATCTTACTAATTTGCTTGAGAACCAGTTCGGATTTAAGTAACTTTTGTATGACTGAAGCTTTTAGTGATAGGTCTAATGCTTTAATATTTAATAATTTCTGTCCTCCGAATTCATATTCATTATATAAATAGGCCCTTTTAATTTTGTCTGGCTTGCCGTTCCAAATAAAATTGAATATTTTTTACTCATATAATTTAAAAAACTGTTCGCTAGGCTTAGGCAAGACCATAAGCAAATAGGTAAACTGGGATAATACTAAAGAGTTAATCGGGGTGATTTTTCCACAAATTGACAGGTATTTACCTTTCCATGGTAGCAAGATCTTATCTATTTTTGCTAACTTTCTATTCAAATGTATTGAAGTGAGATCATTTATTTCCTTTGGGATATGTATTCTGAGTATATCCACATCACCATCAGACCATTTTATTGGTAAACTACATGGTAATGTAAAAATTGTATTTTCTTGTGATCCAATACGTAATATAGTACATTTATCATAATTTGGTTGTAATGCAGAGAGGTTAGAAAATGTATCTAGATCCTCTATGAGGCTGTGGAGGGATTCTAGTTGTGGATTTAAAAAGAAAACATGAATCATCAGCGTACAATGACACCTTTGTTTTTAAGCCTTGGATTTCTAATCCTCTGATATTATTATTATTGGATCTGATTTTAATAGCTATTAAAATAGCTATCTCAATGGCCACAATAAATAGATATGCCGATAGTGGACAACCTTGTTTCACTCCTCTTGACAGTTTAAAACTTTCTGAGAAATAGCCATTATTTACTATTTTACACCTAGGGTTACTATACATGATTTTGACCCATTTTATAAGAGATTCTCCAAAATCGAAATGCTACAGGTATTTATATATAAACCCCAGTCGTACTTTATCACATGCTTTTTCGAAGTCTGCTATGAATAGCAGGCCTGGTTTCCCATATTTTCCATAGTGTTCTATTGTTTCCAATACTTGCCTTATATTATCTCCAATGTATCTTCCATGTAAAAAACCTGTCTGATTAGAATGAATAATATCCGACAATACCTTTTTAATTCTATGCGCTATACATTTTTTTCTAGAATTTCTGCATCACAACACTGAAGTGTAAGGGGGCCTCCAATTTTTTTAATGGACTGGATCTTTATATTTTCCACTTGTATCCCATTTCAGTAATAATGAGATCAGACCTTCTTCTTGAGTGTCAGATAATCTACCATTTACATAGGAGTGGTTAAAACATGCTAATAACGGTCCTCTTAGTATATCAAAAAAGTTTTGGTATACCTCGACTGGTCTTTGTGGTTGAATCTGTTTGAAATTCGCTGCTCGACTGAGGGACCTTACAGATAATTGTATGTGTGGGGTACAGAGATGAGGCAGTCATTCAGAAATCATGTTAAACACTATTATTGTCAATGCATTTTATTATGTGACTTTTAAAGCACATTTTTACTCCAGAACGTATTTAGGCTTGCCATAACAAAGGGGTTCAATACTTATTGACTCAAGACATTTCAGCTTTTAATTATTTATGAATTTGAAAATATTTTCTAAAAACATAATTCCACTCTGACATGTGTAGGCCAGTGACACTAAATCTCAATTTAATTAATCAATTTAAAATTCAGGTTGTAACACAATAAAATGTGGAAAAAGTCAAGTGGTGTGAATACTTTCTGAAGGCACTGTAAGTGTGTGAATTGGACAATGTTGCTGTCCTGCATGAGCATTCAAAATGTAAGGAGTACTTTTGGGTGTCAGGGAAAATGTATGGGAGTAAAAAGTACATATTTCCTTTAGGAATGTAGTAGAGTAAAAGTGAAAGTTGTCAAAAATATAAATAGTAAAGTACATATACCCCAAAAAACTACTTAAGTATTACTTCAAAGTATTTTTACTTAGTTACTTTACACCACTGCACACAAACACATGTCTGCGAGAGAGAGAGTATGTTTGTAAGGGAGTGTATCTGTAAGTGTGTATGTTTGTCAATCCCTTAAACGCTGTGGGGATTTCACACCACTGTGCAGCGATCCAGGATCTCCCAGATAGTGCTGTAACACACACACCCTGACAGACATATGACTATTGTACCAGTCCAACAGATAAAGCCGTGTCAATGTAAAATCTGCTACTAACACATCTTTACCTTGGAGATATAAAAGGAACATATGGATTATGTTAGGACATGCTAGATGTAACCCTTAATCTGCTGTGATCTTACTGCTGATCCCTACATGGTTCCCCATAACCCATTCTTTCAGAGCTGGGAGGCCACCAGCACACACTGTAGCCCATGGAGAGCATTCCTCCCTGCGCATGATTTGTTGGATTAAAGGGGTAGGGTCATGCCAGGGGTGATTAAGCCACACTAAACTGACACTAAAGGTTAAACACAGCTGTTACTGTGGCTGCTATATGTTGCACCTTACACTATATTGTACTGTATATGTTGTAATGTATTGTTCACTGAATTATTTTTTTATCCCTCTTTTCAGTTACCATGTCAGTTACCAGTGTGTTTTTGTGCTGATACAATCAATATCGATTTCCAGGACACAGATTAAGCCAAGTGCTGGACTAAAGCGCATGCTCCATTGAAGTAGCTTTTTAGTCCAGGACTAGGCTTAACCTGTGTCTAGGAAACCACTCCTCAGTATAAACTCAGCAAAAAAAGAAATGTCCCTTTTTCAGGGCCCTGTCTTTCAAAGATAATTTGTAAAAATCCAAAAGACTTCACAGATCTTCATTGTAAAGGGTTTAAACACTGTTTCCCATGCTTGTTCAATGAACCATAAACAATTAATGAACATGCACCTGTGGAATGGTCGTTAAGATACTAACAGCTTACAGACGGTAGGCAATTAAGGTCACAGTTATGAAAACTTAGGACACTAAAGAAGCCTTTCTACTGACTCTGAAAAACACCAAAAGAAAGATGCCCAGGGTCCCTGCTTATCTGCGTGAACGTGCCTTAGGCATGCTGCAAGGAGGCATGAGGACTGCAGATGTGGCCAGGGCAATAAATTACAATGTCCGTACTGTGAGACGCCTAAGACAGTGCTACAGGGAGACAGGACGGACAGCTGATCGTCCTCGCAGTGGCAGACCACGTGTAACAACACCTGCACAGGATCGGTACATCCGAACATCACACCTGCGGGACAGGTACAGGATGGCAACAACAACTGCCCGAGTTACACCAGGAACGCACAATCCCTCCATCAGTGCTCAGACTGTCCGCAATAGGCTGAGAGAGGCTGGACTGAGGGCTTGTAGGCCTGTTGTAAGGCAGGTCCTCACCAGACATCATCGGCAACAACGTCGCCTATGGGCACAAACCCACCTTCGCTGGACCAGACAGGACTGGCAAAAAGTGCTCTTCACTGACGAGTCGCGGTTTTGTCTCACCAGGGGTGATGGTCGGATTCACGTTTATTGTCGAAGGAATGAGCGTTACACCGAGGCCTGTACTCTGGAGCGGGATCAATTTGGAGGTGGAGGGTCCGTCATGGTCTGGGCCGGTGTGTCACAGCATCATCGGACTGAGCTTGTTGTCATTGCAGGCAATCTCAACGCTGTGCGTTACAGGAAAGACATCCTCCTCCCTCATGTGGTACCCTTCCTGCAGCCTCATCCTGACATGACCCTCCAGCATGACAATGCCACCATGCACAGAACGAGCAGTATGGCTGATTTCCTGCAAGACAGGAATGTCAGTGTTCTGCCATGGCCAGCGAAGAGGCCGGATCTCAATCCCATTGACCACGTCTGGGACCTGTTGGATCGGAGGGTGAGGGCTAGGGCCATTCCCCCCCAGAAATGTCCGGGAACTTGCAGGTGCCTTGGTGGAAGAGTGTAACATCTCACAGCAAGAACTGGCAAATCTGGTGCAGTCCATGATGGGGAGATGCACTGCAGTACTTAATGCAGCTGGTGGCCACACCAGATACTGACTGTTACTTTTGATTTTGACCCCCCCTTTGTTCAGGGACACATTATTCAATTTCTGTTAGTCACATGTCTGTGGAACTTGTTCAGTTTATGTCTCAGTTGTTGAATCTTGTTATGTTCATACAAATATTTACACATGTTAAGTTTGCTGAAAATAAACACAGTTGACAGTGAGAGGACGTTTCTTTTTTTGCTGAGTTTATAAATATATATATACTATATATATGCTATAAACGTGCTGATGGTTTTGTGTGTGTCTATCTCTCTTCTCCAGTCTCTCTGCAGGACATCAACATGCGTAAGGCGTTTAAGAGCAGTACCATCCAGGACCAACAGGTGGTCTCACGGACCTCAGTCCCCAACCCTGTGGTAGAGATGTACCATCGCTGTGACAAACCTCCACCTCTCAACATACTCAGTACCTATAGGTTAGTACCTTTTTAGTATACTTATCTCCTAGCCTGACTACCCATCCACATCGAGCCGGCCAAACACCACACCCACCAGCGTTTCTTCTCCACAATGATTCTGGATTTGCTTTCCTCCCTGACGTCTTGTAGAATACAAACACATTCCGACCGTTTCAATTGGTCCCAGATACCGATGTGTTGGGCCAGAGCCGGCCTGGCCTAACATCATTTGCTTTGATACTCTGATTGGTTAGAGATGATCCAATGGCTGAATAATTTGTTTTGTACCCCGCCCCTCATTTTGACGTTAGGCAACTTATCTGCTATTGGTTAGTTAAACCTCTGTCCCCAACCCTGTGGTAGTGATGTACCATCGCTGTGACAAACCTCCACCTATCAACATACTCAGCCTCTATAGGTCAGCACCTCAGTATACTCAGCCCCTATAGTTAGCCTGTAGGTCAATTAAACCACCACCTCTCTGAAAACGTACAGGTAAGATCATCCTCACAATTGCTGTGAATCCCAGTCTGATGCTGAGAAAGGCACATCACTGACCCAATGCTCTGTGAATGACTAATGCAATAGATGCAATGCACCTGACCCATTTCTCTCCCTCTTCCTCCCTTCTCCTCTCTCTCTCTCTCTCGCTCTCTCCATCCCTCGCTCTCCAGGGATGATAAGAAGGATGCGTTGAAGTTCTACACAGACCCCTCCTACTTCTTCATGCTGTGGAAAGAGAAGATGCTTCAGGCCACAGAGGACAAGAGGAAGGAAAAGAGACGACAGAAGGTGTGTGTGTGTGTGTGTGTGCAAGTATGCGGATGCATGTGTACTTGATCTCTTCCTTCTCTATCTGTCACTGCCTCTTTCTCTCTCTTCCCCTCTTTCCTTCCCCTCTTTCACTCTGTGCCTCTGGTCGTTGTGTCTCCTTGCTGACAGTGCTTGTGTTCAAACATGTCAACTAGAGGCACTCCAGTGAGGGTGTGCTGAACTTTACTATACTGTATTGCTTGGATGGGGAAAGAGAGAATATCATCCATTACTGCTTCACTGCTATGTTCTTTGCATCTCCACATGCTTCTTTTGATCTCACATTCCCTTTGCTTTGCTGTGTTATAATCCAGGCTGTGTGTGTTCTGGTACACACTCCCTGTGTGTTTTGAACTCAATCACATCCCTCACGCCCCTTCTACGTCCAATTCCCCTAGAAACATAACCCCTCTTGCTGTCTAAAGAGAACTTCAGTTATAACCTCTCTCTCGGACATCTATATCCCTCCTTTCTGTCCCTCCTTCTCCCTCACTCTGCTTCTACTCCCCAGTCCCACTATCGCCCCTCTACCCCTGTTATCACCTGTTATCACCTGTCTAAACCTCCAGACTTTCACCAGTAGACTATCTCCTCCTCTCCCCCTCTCTCTTCCCCCACTCTCACTCTCTCCCATTTGTATAACCACAGTATATCTAATGTGTTAGAGCTCTCTATCTCCACGTCTCCCATCCAGACCAGCTGTCCGGCCCACTCTGACCAGGGTAGACCCCACAGCAGACAGGCTCCACCTCGCAGCCCACTACCCAGCTCCGTAAGACCGCTACATCCACCGCTATGTTCTCGTGTCCCCCGTCCTTGTCTCCTCCCAGGCCCTCTGGGTGTCCCCTGGGTTTCCCCTTCCCCTTCCACTGCTATGTCTCCCTGTCCCTTGTCCGGTGTCCCTTGCGTGTTCAATGTCTTCTACGTCCCTGTTCCCTATGTTCCCTGTCCATGTCTCCGCCCAGCTCCGTAAGACGCCACCACTACGTCCCTGTCTCCTCCCAGACCCCTCCGTCTGCGTGTCACCCTCCCGTCTCTGTCCCTCCACCAAACTGGTCCCTTATACCCATCCGTCTATGTTTAGGACTGTTTTATGTTGTGTTGATTATGTTTTATCTTGCTTAACATTGCTTAAAAGTTTGGCTTATAGTGGGACTGGGTGAATTCTGCTGGTTGAAGGTGTGTGATAATGGTGGAGGGCTCTTGTTCTCTCTGTTTGTCCCTGTGTGAAGAGAATACTATCCATAATAAATAAAGCCCTTTGTATTTGTTTGTTTGTCTCTCCTTCCTCCCTCCCTCCCCTCCATCACTCCATCAGGAGCAGCACAAACAGGTAGAGGACCCGGGAAGGGAGGTGAAGAAGGTTCGTAAGGCCCGTAATCGCAGACAGGAGTGGAATATGATGGCTTATGACAAGGAGTTCCGCCCCGATACCAGACTCACCCCCTCACCCTATCACGGAATGTCCTCCGAGGGGTCGCTATCACCCGATAACAGGTGAGCCCAGAGTCAATGAATTGGTCAATCTATCAATTACTCAACCAATCGATCAACCGATTTCTATTTGTGTAGTGCTTTTTACAAATACAGTGCTTTCGGAAAGTATTCAGACCCCTTGACTTTTTCCACATTTTGTTACCTTACAGCCTTATTCTAAATGGATTAAACAAATTATAATCCTCAGCAATCTACATACAATACCACATAATGACAAAGCAAACACAGGTTTTTAGAAATGTTTGTAAATATGAAAAATATATATACAGTACCAGTCAAAAGTTTGGACACACCTACTCATTCAAGGGTTTTTCTTTATTTTTACTATTTTCTACATTGTAGAATAATACTGAAGACATCAACACTATGAAATAACACATATGGAATCATGTAGTAACCAAAAAAGTGTTAAACAAATGAAAATATATTTTATATTTGAGATTCTTCAAATAGCCACCCTTTGCCTTGATGACAGCTTTGCACACTCTTGGCATTCTCTCTACCAGCTTCACCTGGAATGCTTTTCCAACAGTCTTGAAGGAGATCCCACATATGCTAAGCACTTGTTGGCTGCTTTTCCTTCACACTGCCGTCCGACTCATCCCAAATCATCTCAATTGGGTTGAGGTCGGGGGATTGTGGAGGCCAGTTCATCTGATGCAGCACTCCATCACTCTCCTTCTGGTAAAATAGCCCTTACACAGCCTGGAGGTGTGTTGGGTCATTGTCCTGTTGAAAAACAAATGATAGTCCCAGTAAGCCCAAACCAGACGGGATGGCGTATCGCTGCAGAATGCTGTGGTAGCCATGCTGGTTAAGTGACACTGTCTATCACAGACAGTGTCACTAGCAAAGCACCCCCATACCATAACACCTCCTCCTTCATGCTTTACGGTGGGAAATACACATGCAGAGATCATCCGTTCACCCGCACCGCGTCTCACAAAGACACGGCGGTTGGAACCAAAAACCTCCAATTTGGACTTCAGACCAAAGAACACATTTCCACCGGTCTAATTTCTATTGCTCATGTTTATCGGCCCAAGCAGGTCTCTTCTTCTTATTGGTGTCCTTTAGAAGTGGTTTCTTTGCAGCAATTCGACCATGAAGGCCTGATTCACACAGTCTCCTCTGAACAGTTGATGTTGAGATGTGTCTGTTACTTGAACACTGTGAAGCATTTATTTGGGCTGCAATTTCTGAGGCTGGTAACTCTAATGAACTTATCCTCTGCAGCAGAGGTAACTCTGGGTCTTCCATTCCTGTGGCAGTCCTCATGAGAGCCAGTTTCATCATAGTGCTTGATGGTTTTTGTGACTGCACTTGAAGAAACTTTCTAAGCTCTTGACATTTTCCGTATTGACTGACCTTCATGTCTAAAAGTAATGATGGACTGTTGTTTCTCTTTGCTTATTTGAGCTTTTCTTGCCATAATATGGACTTGGTCTTCAAGGCATGGGGTGGCTATTTGAAGAATCTCAAATATAAAATATATGTTGATGTGTTTAACACTTTTTTAGTTACTACATGATTCCATATGTGTTATTTCATAGTTTTGAAGTCTTCACTATTATTCTAGTAAAAATATAGAAAAACCCTTGAATGAGTAGGTGTGTCCTAACTTTTGACTGGTCGTGTATATACAGTGCCTTCGGAAGGTATTCAGACCCCTTAGCAATCTGCACACAATACCCCATAATGACAAAGCGAAAACAGGTTTTTAGAAATGTTTGCAAATGTATAAAAAATATAAAACTGAATAATCACATTTACATAAGTATTCAGACCCTTTGCTAGGAGACTCAGGTGCATCTTATTTCCATTGATCATCCTTGAGATGTTTCTACAACTTGATTGGAATCCACCTGTGGTAGATTCAATTGATTGGACACGATTTGGAAAGGCACACACCTGTCTATATAAGGTCCCAGAGTTGACACAGTGGCCTCCATCATTCTTAAATGGAAGAAGTTTGGAACCACCAAGACTCTTCCTAGAGCTGGCCGCCCGGCCAAACTGAGCAATCAGGGGAGAAGGGCCTTGGTCAGGGAGCTGACCAAGAACCCGAAGGTCACTCTGACAGTGTTCTAGAGTTCCTCTGTGGAGATGGGATAACCTTCCAGAAGGACAACCATCTCTGCAGCACTCCACCAATCAGGCCTTTATGGTAGAGTGACCAGACGGAAGCCACTCCTCAGTAAAAGGCACATGACAGCCCACTTGGAGTTTGCCAAAAGGCACCCAAAGACTCTCAGACCATGAGAAACAAGATTCTCTGGTCTGATGAAACCAATATTGAACTCTTTGGCCTGAATGCCAAGCGTCACATCTGGCCCTGTTACTATCCCTATGGTGAAGCATGGTGTTGGCAGCATTATGCTGTGGGATGTTTTTCAGCTGCAGGGACTAGGAGACCAGTCAGGATTGAGGCAAAGATGAACGGAGCAAAGTACAGAGAGATCTTGAACCCGATCAAACATCTCTGGAGAGACCTGAAAATAGCTGTGCTGCAATGCTCCCCATCCAACCTGACAGAGCTTGAGAGGATCTGCAGAGAAGAATAGGAGGAACTCCCCAAATACAGGTGTGCCAAGCTTGTAGCGTCATGCCCAAAAAGACTCAAAGCTGTAATTGCTGCCAAAGGTTCTTCAACAAAGTACTGAGTAAAGGGTCTGAAAACGTATGTAAATGTGATATTTCTGTTTTTTATTTGTAATAAATTAGCAAAAATTTCTATAAACCTGTTTTTGCTTTGTCATTATGGGGTATTGTGTGTCGATTGGGGTATTGTGTGTAGATGGTCACTCTGACAGAGCTCCAGGGGACTCTCAGACCATGAGAAACAAGATTTTCTGGTCTGATGAAACCAAGATTGAACTCTTTGGCCTGAATGCCAAGCGTCACGTCTGGAGGAAACCTGGCACCATCCCTACGGGGAAGTATGGTAGTGGCAGCATCATGCTGTGGGGATGTTTTTCAGCGGCAGGGACTGGGAGACTAGTCAGGATCGAGGGAAAGATAAACTGAGCAAAGTACAGAAAGATCCTTGATGAAAACCTGCTCCAGAGTGCTCAGGACCTCAGACTGGGGCGAAGGTTCACCTTCCAACAGGACAACGACCCTAAGCACACAGCCAAGACGACGCAGGAGTGACTTCGGGACAAATCTCTGAATGTCCTTGAGTGGCCCAGCCAGAACCCGGACTTGAACCCGATCTAAACATCTCTGGAGATACCTGAAAATAGCTGTGGGGTGACGCTTCCCATCCAACCTGACAGAGGTTGAAAGGATCTGCAGAGAAGAATGGGAGAAACTCCTCAAATCAAATTTTATTTGCCACATGCGCCGAATACAACAGTGAAATGCTTACTTACATGCCCTTAACCAACAATGCAGTTTTTAAGAAAGGAAAAAAATAGTGTTTAGTAAAAAATCATAAAAACAAATAGCAAATAATTAAAGAGCAGCTGTAAAATAAAATAACAGTTGGGAGGCTATATACAGGGGGTACTGGTACAGAGTCAATGTTTGGGGGCCCCGTTAGTCGAGGTAATTGAGGTAATATGTACATGTGGGTAGAGTTAAAGAGACTATGCATAAATAATAAACAGAGTAGCAGCAGCGTAATAATCACAGACAGCAAATAATCTGGGTAGCCATGATTAGCTGTTCAGGAGTCTTATGGCTTGGGGGTAGAAGCTGTTAAGAAGCCTTTTGGACCTAGGCTTGGCGCTCCGATACAGCTTGCCGTGCGGTAGCAGAGAGAACAGTCGATGACAAGGGTGGCTGGAGTCTTTGACAATTTTTAGGGCCTTCCTCTGACACCGCCTGGTATAGAGGTCCTGGAAGGCAGAAAGCTTGGCCTCAGTGATGTACTGGGCCGTACGCACTACCCTCTAGTGCCTTGCGGTTGGAGGCCAAGCAGTTGCCATACCAGGCGGTGATGCAACCAGTCAGGATGCTCTCGATGGTGCATCTGTATAACTTTTTGAGGATCTGAGGACCCATGCCAAATCTTTTCAGTCTCCTGAGGGGAAATAGGCTTTGTCGTGCCCTCTTCACGACTGTCTTGATGTGTTTGGATACAGGTGTGCCAAGCTTGTAGCGTCATACCCAAGAAGACTCGAGGTTGTAATAGCTGCCAAAGGTGCTTCAACAAAGTACTGAGTAAAGGGTCTGAATACTTATGTAAATGTGATATTTTAGTAAATTGTTTTTAATAGATTTGCAAAAATGTCTATAAATCAGTTTTTGCTTTGTCATTATGAGGTATTGTGTGTAGATTTATGAGGAAACAAATCTATTAAATCATTTTAGAATAAGGTTGTATCATAACAAGATGTGGAAAAAGTCAAGGGGTCAGAATACTTTCCGAATGCGCTGTACATGTGTCATGAATTGTTCAGTGACTGGCCAGTCTTCAGTGTGCTAAGGCACAGTCTAGCTGTCTTCTGCCCTCTGCTGGGTAAAAAAAAAAGTCTAACTGAAATCCATAATATTTCTATATCTCATTTCCAAGGAATCTGATATTCCCAGTATGGACTTTATAAGAAGGATATCACTTTAATTAACTGAAGTTTTTGTGAACAATATTCTTTGTCCTCAATTCCCCCTCCCTCTCCCCTCCCAGGTCGGTGGCATCAGACATGGGTGAGCACTCCTACCCGGCCAGCCCTAACCACCCCTCCCAGCCCCCCTCCGCCCCCCACCCTATCGACGTTGCCCCCCACCTCACCCAGACACCACAGACCCAGTCCTTAGACAGAGGTGGGTACCCTCGACCTAACCTCCCCTCTGGTGCAGTCGCTGGGGGAAGACATATCGCCTCTCTGGGGCGCACCCAGCACCCCCACGCACCCCCCGCCCCCTCTGAGGGGGGAGCACTCAATGGACCACGGCAGCAGTCTGTCAAGGACTACAGGGCATATGGGTAAGAACACCGCATAGAAATAGAATCACCAAACACTAAATTGACTGTGAATGTTCATTCTAGAAATTCTAATTCTCGAAGCCTTTGTAATTCTAGAAGAATGTCTTTGACACTGATATTTGACATATAACATTTCACTTGATTTTAGTTAAGAGAATTGATCCAGCCAACAGATTTGCCCACTGTTGCCAATTAGTGTCTGATTGTGTTCTTTCTCTCTTTCTTTCTCTTCCTCCTCCCTTAGCGGCCAGCCATCAACCATCCCTGAGTACTTCACCCCCCCTGCCCCTCCCCCCCCCCCACTCATCCCCTCCGCACAGACCGCCTTCGACTCCACCTCCCCCCTTCCTCCCCCCTCCCTTCCCCCCGGGGCTGTGGCGGTCATGTCCCGCCCTTACAGTCCCTCCCCTCCTCCCCCCGCCCCCCCTGCCAACTATGTCCCCTCCCCCTCTCACCCCCCCTCCGGTGCCCCTCCCACTGCCCCCCCTCCTCCCCCACCCGGCCTGCCCCCCTCCCACATCCTGTCTCCGGCTCAGGCCATTGGTGGAGAAGCTCCTGCCACCAAGAAGGGCCAGATGCCGATGATTCCAATAAGCGACGCTCGCAGCGACCTGTTGGCCGCCATACGTAGAGGTGAGACAGAGGGGGAGAGAATTGGGGTGTGGATGTGGGTGTGTGTGTGGGGGGGTTGTATGTGTGTGTTTATGTATGCGTGTGTGTATTTTTTTCTTGTTTAAGTTTGTTTTCGTGTGTGGGTTTGTGTGTGTGTGTGTGTGTGTGTGTGCGCATGCGTGTGTGTGTGCTTAGGTGTGCTTCCGATGAGCAATGCTCGCAGTGAACTGCTGGCAGCCATACGCAGAGGTGAGACAGATAGAGGGAATGTGTGTGCATGTGTGCATGGATACATGTGTATCCACTTGTGAATGAGTACATTTAGCGTATGTGAAATGGCTAGCTAGTTATCGGTAGTGTTGCACAATATACCGAAACTTCAGTACTTTGTCGATACTAGAACATGAAAAACGTTTCAGTACTAGAATTTCTGTTACTTTCGGTACTTCTGTCAAATGTGTCTCACGTCATAACTATTTAGAGGATCAAATCTCTCTATCAGCGCAGATGATGTCCCCTTTATAGCGCGAGCGCACTGTGCATGCCTCTTGCCTGCTCCACTTACTCATTTCTGGAGCTAGCTCTAGCCTGTCCTGAGGAACCACTGCACTCACTGGGAGTCTGGGCTGCATCATCTTGGCTCCCCACTCATGCTGCACAGAAGTAATCACACTTGAATAATGCAACACGGCATGTAGAAATGTTGAAAATGTTAATTACTGTAACTGAAAACAATGACCATACAGGCTAGAACACTTTACAATGCAAGAAGATACCGGTAGCTTCCAGCTTTGTAGGCCAACTTCCCTTGCTAGCTTTGTTTGTCATAATATGCAAACCATAATGCAAAATATACTGATTTCAAAGCTGATTCATTCACATCGTCTCCCTCACATCACGTCTCTCGCTCTAAATGAATGTGAGTGCATGTGCCTCTTAAATGACGTCAACACTGGGTCTTAAAGAGACAGCGCATACTTTTATAAAATAAGAAATTGCTTCTCCTATGAAAATGTTGTTGATCAGTACAATAAAATAAGTCCCAAATGAATGGGAAACAGATTGTTTGTCATCTGCAGCCCCTTGATTTACAGAGATTTACCATTTAAATAAATGATTACCATTTATGTTGTTATGTAGTAAGATTGATAAAAACAAAGTCAAATTGATTGCAGAATTGTATAATTGATTTATTAATGCGTACATGCTGTCTGAAATATTGACATAAAAAATGTATAATGTAATGAAATTGAACTCAAAAGATGCCCAACGATTGAACAGAGCGGTAGCTGAGTTTATCTGTTTAACCTTATCGAGTATCATGATACTAAACCTGGTATCGGTATCGAAGTAAAGATTCTGGTATCGTGACAACACTAGTTAGCTGTGTGTTTGTAGCTTTCCTCTGTGATGAGACCTATAAGGAGATCATTCCCCTTAGAAGCATGGCTTTGGTGGTCCGTAGGGTTGCAAAATTCCGTAAACTTGCCCAAAATTCCCTGGTTTTCCAGAAATCCTGGTTGAAAGATTCACGGAATTGGGAGGGGAAAAAACCTGGGAATTTTGGGGAAGTTACAGGAATTTTGCAACAGGTAAGGCTGCTTCTGTGGGTGACACGCTGTCGATGTGTTCAGAGGGTCTCTGGTTCGAGCCCAGTGAGGGACAGGGACAGAAGCAATACTGTTACATACATATGAAGCTCTGTGTGTGTGTGTGTGTGTGTGTGTGTGCCTGCGTGCCTGCCTAGTGTATGTATCTATCTAACCCCTCACTCCCTCCATCCCTCCTTCAATACCTTCCTCCATCTCTCCAGGTATCCAGTTGAGGAAGGTCCAGGAACAGAGAGAGCAGGAAGCGAAGAGAGAGCCAGTTGGAAACGACGTGGCCACCATCCTATCACGTCGCATCGCCGTCGAGTACAGCGAATCAGATTCCGACTCCGGCGGGGAGGACAACGGGGAGTGGTCCGACTGAGAGGGGTCAGGGGTCAATGGGTTAAGGTGGGACAATGGTTAGGGGTCAAAGTATTCAAAACTTTATTCAAAATGATTGAATTAAAATTCAATTTCTGTCCCCGCTCCCACCACACACACATAGAGACTTTAAAGGGATAGACCAACCCCCAACCCACCTAACATTGCTGTGCTTAAGTAGCATTGCTAACACACTACATTACCTCTACTCAAGCACTATAACTGTAACACAACCAATCAACCAATCAAGTAATGCTATACTAGAGGACTGCAGTACATGCCAGTGTACAGTACAACACTACAACAAGCTATAACTCAACTTCACTTTGCTGAAGTAAACTAAATGAAATGGTCTGAAATGGAGAAGAGGAAATGGAGGGAAGGGATTATTTGTAAATACATAGAGGAGCACAAGTGAGGAAGGGAGATAGAAGGTGGGTGACACATACATGTTTTTATTCAGTTATTTATTTCATATGGCACATCATTCACAATCTGTGAGTAAAGAGATGCAAATATGTATCCATAGCAACTAACACTAAGCATCAGAAAGTTCAGATAGTTGCCCTCGACAACGCTAATTCTAGAACACAAACAGACAAGGTCCCGGGGATTGTCACTGCAAAACATGAGGGGTGTGGGTGTGATGCACCCTGGGATGCCATAGTGTGTGAAACTGCATAGGATCCCTCTTAACAACACACCACCCACCTCCTCTCCACTTGTAAACGACAACAACAAACTCATAAAACAAAACCCAGCTCAGAAAATAAAATACCAGTATGCAATGCTTTTAAATATGGCTTTACACTAATGCCTCAAGTTTTAAAATGTATGTTTTAAGAGAATAACAAAAACACTATATAGGTTTGCATCAGCAACAATTACTCTGTATGGGAGTGAACAAACATACTATTTCAGTATGATGCAGTGGGTTGACGTATTTTCAAGTGCACATTTTTCAGGGCATGTGGAATTGTGGGTAATGAATTGTGGGTAATAATCAGTCTCAATATTAGACAAGGTTCATTATATCTATACTCAAGCCTCAGCTTTTTGTTTGCTATATGAAGTAGCATTGTACAGCTGCACACATATGCCTAGCTAACTCCATCATCTAACGTTACTCACATCGTCTCAACAACGTTTAAACAACGCTGCAAACCACTAGACTGCTGACCTTTATTTGTCTGTTAATTATATATTTGCTCAGTGGTTGTAGGGCAGGAGTCTCAAACTCCTGGCCCACGAGCCAAATGCGGCCCCGAAATGATTTAATGTGGCCCCCAGGGCACAATGAGTTTGCAACCAAACTATAATCAGGGATCTGATCCCTGATCATAAAGGCTTTTAATAAGTACAGGTTGCAAAATAAAGAAAGAAAGACATTGAGAAAAGACACAGACACTGAAAATACTTTATTTTGCGTTGTTTCAACGTGACACAGGATATGAAGCAAATAAAAAGGGATATTGCACTTTTAAAATACATCCTAACTGAACATAAATACAGTACGAGTCGGCATGCAGTTGAATCAGAAACACTGATCAGTTTTGTGGTTTTACCCCTAATGGTAAAGGTAAGGGGTAGGCTAAGCTGATCCTAGATCTTTGCCTATGGGAAACTTCTATCCTCAATATACAGTACATAAGAACAACTGGAATGTGATCCAATTTTTAGCATCAAACATTGTAGTTTTATGACAACAAAGTTCTAATTTGCATTCTAAACTAGAATGTCTTGGAACTATTGGTGCCAACATGATAAATATACAACTTCTAAGGCCCAGTCTAAAATGATACCCTATTCTCCCTGTAGTGCACTACTTTTGACTAAATATTAGATAGTGCACTACTTTGTACTAAAAGTAGTGCACTAGCATATATTGAGAATAGGGTGTCATTAGTAGCCGAAGTCAATATATCTCAAACCAAGTCAATTTAACTCAGTATCTCTAAAGCTGTGGTTTACGAGTAACATTGTGTGTTTTAAATGAAATTGTATAGAATTCTGGTAAGAAACTGCTTGTAACGAATTTGGGTATCTAGATAAAGAGAAGAAACATCTGTGTATTACACGAAACAAACTGTAGGCAAAGTATGCATGTATGAATAGCTAATAATAAATGTGAAGATAATTCTGACTGTGTAGCCTACTTATTGAATTATTTGAAGAGGGAAGTGGTGGGGAAAGAAGTCTTCCTGCATTCTGACAAAGAAGAAAATATATATATACACTACCGTTCAAAAGTTTGGGGTCACTTAGAAATGTCCTTGTTTTCGAAAGAAAAGCACTTTTTTTGTCCATTTAAAATAACATCAAATTGATCAGAAATACAGTGTAGACAATGTTAATATTGTAAATGGCTATTGTAGCTGGAAGCGGCTGATTTTTAATGGAATATCTACATAGGTGTACAGAGGCCCATTATCAGCAACCATCAGTCCTGTGTTCCAATGGCACGTTGTGTTTGCTAATCCAAGTTTATCATTTTAAAAGGCTAATTGATCATTAGAAAACCCTTTTGCAATTATGTTAGCATAGCTGAAAACTGTTGTGCTGATTTAAAGAAGCAATAAAACATGCCTTCTTGAGACTAGTTGAGTATCTGGAGCATCAGCAATTGTGGGTTCGATTACAGGCTCAAAATGTCCAGAAACAAATAACTTTCTTCTGAAACTCGTCAGTCTATTCTTGTTCTGAGAAATTAAGGCTATTCTATGCGAGAAATTGCCAACAAACTGAAGATCTCGGACAACACAGAACAGCGCAAACTGGCTCTAACCAGAATAGAAAGAGGAGTGGGAGGCCCCGGTGCACAACTGAGCAAGAGGACAAAAACATTAGTGTGTAGTTTGAGAAACAGGCGCCTCACAGGTCCTCAACTGGCAGCTTCATTAAATAGTACCCGCAAAACACCAGTCTCAACGTCAACAGTGAAGAGGCAACTCCGGGATGCTGACCTTCTAGGCAAAGTTGCAAAGAAAAAGCCATATCTCAGACTGCCCATCTTAATCTTTTCTTTTTATTGGCCAGTCTGAGATATGGCTTTTTCTTTGCAACTCTGCCTAGAAGGTCAGCATCCTGGAGTCACCTCTTCACTGTTGACGTTGGGAATAAAGAATGGTACCAACACATCCTCCGAGGGCAACTTCTCCCAACCATCCAAGAACAGTTTGGTGACGAACAATGCCTTTTCCAGCGGAAACAAAACAAAACATTTAAATTTTGGGTCCATGGCCAGGACCCAATTGAGAACTTGTGGTCAATCCTCAAGAGGCGGGTGGACAAACAAAAACCCACAAATTCTGACAAACTCCAAGCATTGATAAAGCAACAATGGGCTGCCATCAGTCAGGATGTGGCCCAGAAGTTAATTGATAGCATGCCAGGGCGGATTGCAGAGGTCTTGAAAAAGAAGGGTCAACACTGCAAATATTGACTCTTTGCATAAACTTAATGTAATTGTCAATAAAAGCCTTTGACACTTATGGAATGCTTGTAATTATACTTCAGTATACCATAGTAACATCTGACAAAAATATCTAAAAACACTGAAGCAGCAAACTTTGTGAAGACCAATACTTGTGTCATTCTCAAAGCTTTTGACCACGACTGTACACAGTGTGGTACAAGATCTTCAGTTTCTTGGCAATTTCTCGCATAGAATAGCCTTCATTTCTCAGAACAAGAATAGACTGACGAGTTTTAGAAGAAAGTTATTTGTTTCTGGCCATTTTGAGCCTGTAATTGAACCCACAATTGCTGATGCTCCAGATACTCAACTAGTCTCAAGAAGGCCAGTTTTATTGCATCTTTAATCAGCACAACAGTTTTCAGCTGTGCTAACATAATTGCAAAAGGGTTTTCTAATGATCAATTAGCCTTTTAAAATGATAAGCTTGGATTAGCAAAAAAATTTGCGACCAAGCTTTAACTTCCTGACTGATGTCTTGAGATGTTGCTTCAATATATCCACATAATTTTCCTTCCTCATGATGCCATCTATTTTGTGAAGTGCACCAGTCCCTCCTGCAGCAAAGCACCCCAACAGCATGATGCTGCCGGCTTGCAAACAACCTCCCTTTTCCTTCAAACATAACGATGGTCATTATGGCCAAACAGTGATATTTCTGTTTCATCAGACCAGAGGACATTTCTCCAAAAAGTACGATCTTTGTCTCCATGTGCAGTGTGTGTGTGTGTGTATATATATATATATATATATATATATATATATATATATATATATATATATATATATATACACACACACACAGTGGGGAGAACAAGTATTTGATACACTGCCGATTTTTTAGGCTTTCCTACTTACAAAGCATGTAGAGGTCTGTAATTTTTATCATAGGTACACTTCAACTGTGAGAGACGGAATCTAAAACAAAAATCCAGAAAATCACATTGTTGTGTCAATTCCTGACTACAAGCTACAAGCCTAAATCCACCCAGGGTGCTCAAAGCACTCCCAACCTGCAGGGGGCAACCATGCAACCGGAGCTGTTGAAACCAACCACCAGGAAGTGCTCTGGGGACCATATTAACCTGCGCACCCACAAGCAGTGCATGTGCATGGCATCGAAATGTTTGGTAAAAGCTTACTTGGCTCTCACTCATTCCTGAGAAGAGATACCAATGACCACAGCTCCTGATCATCCAAAGACGCAACTGGTAGGACAGAATGTGTTGTGAATTCATGCTTCTATATGCCCTTTTGTTTGGTTGTAACATACAATACAATTATTAATTAAATTAAATAGTGAAGACTTCATTTGTGAACGTAGAACTTGACAGTAACGTTACTATAATCATGTGTATTGTTAAATGTTTAATTATGATATTGATATTTAATTAGTAACTTGCAATGATCCTAGGTTAATCTAAATGATGAAATGATTGTTTGGTTAGGTTTGAGGATTCAGTAACATTAGTTTATGCTTATTTTTGAGAAAGTGGAATTGAGAGTTATTTGTAACTAATCCATGGGTTTTTGTTTGTGTGTTTTGAAGGTTATCAACCTATTCTGTTCCATCTTTATGACAATAAAAAAAATAAAAAAAAAGTGAACAGTTTTGAGTTGTCCTTTGCGTTCATCAAGGATAAAGCCGTTTTCAAGTTTGGGCAGAGCTGTGGTCAGCCAGAAATCACGCAGAACTTGACAGTTGATAACCAGCGCGGCAGTGAAGACGAGGATCAAAGGGCTGAAGTCAAGCTGTCGACGCAAAGGAAGAATTGCCTGTGAAACTCTACACCATGGCCAAGGAAACTTTTGGGAAAACAGTCAAGCAACTGAAGCAAGAGCGGACCTTAGCCAAATCTGCTTTCACCAGACAAGCGAACTACCTGAGTAAAGCTGGAGCTGGTATGATTAAGCATGAACTACAAGAGGAGTTCAGCAAGCTCAGTTCCCTGGCTAGAAGTGTCGGTGATTCAAATGATGACTACGCGGCTGGCCTACTGGCTGAAGCGGGAACTAAGGGAGATGAGGAGGTCAAGCTCGACAAGGACCAGCATGCTGATCTTGAAAGGACGATTGAAGAGTGCGACATGAAATTGGAGGAAATCCGAGAGGCAGTCCAATTCAACCTCTGGCCAAGATACGGTAAAGAGGAGGTAGACTTTGCAATCCAAGAAGCGGAGAAAGCCTGTGACAGAGCCAAAGAAACCCCCGTCACTGCTATTAACAGGGACGGCTATGAGCTACAGCTGGAAAGAGCGAGGAAGCTAATCCATGATTCAAGTGAAAGCCTGAAAGACTGGGAAAAATGGGTCCCACACGATGAGACTGCAGAGCTGAAAGGCAGAGTAAAAGATCTGAGAATATTCGGCAGTAACCTCGAGGCCAAAAGAACAGAATTCCTCATCGCACAGAGAATTGCAGAAGAGGACAGAAGACCTACAGAGCTTCAACCAAGAGCAGTCCCACAACCAGTGGTGAGAATAAAACCAACCAGTCTACCTAAATTCACTGGGCTTAGGAGGAATTTCCACAGATGGAGGAAAGACTGGGAGAGCCTGCAAAAGCAGGGAGAGCCGACTGGTTCAGTGGAGGTGAAGAAGTTTCAACTTCTTGACAGTGTGGACGAGAGAATATGTAGAGACCTGCGCCTGTCATCATATAACAGTGCTGAAGACATGTTTAGAGTACTCCAAAACCAGTATGGAAACAAGCCAACAATTGCTTTGGAGATAATTGAGGACCTGGAGAGGATCCCTCCTTTAAAGTCACACCAACCAAGGAAGGTTATTGACCTGATTCAAGCTGTGGAAAAGGCCCTGAATGACCTCACGGAGCTCGAAAGCAGTGGAGCCATAAAGAATCCCCTTGTCATCAGATCCATAGAGAGCAAGCTGCCGGATAACATGAAGAGGGACTGGCTGACATTCATGGTCAACCCAAGAAATGGAGTCACACCTGACAATCACTTCGACAGCCTTCTAAGATTTTTAAAGACACAAGAGGACATACTGGAGAAAACTAGACCAGTTGGGTGTAAGTGAAAACCCTGAAAAGAAAGCTACGTACCCGGAGAAGCGGTATGCTTCCACAAGGTCCACGAGAAAGGGAGGATGCGTTGTGTGTGGAGATGAAAAGCACCGTGAGAAGATTTTCTTTTGTAAGCAGTTCAAAGAACTAAAGCCTAGTGAGAAGCTGAATGCTGTCGAAAGACTGGGAGCATGCAGAAGATGCCTCAGATGTCATGGAGAGGATGAGGAATGTACGGACACTTACCTTTGCAGAAACAGAGACTGCAAAAGAGGAAGCTCCTCGGATCACCATTTCTTTCTCTGCCTTAAAGGAGGGGCTAAGAGGAAAGAATACGTGAAAGTGGAAAAACCCAGCACCAGGAGGCAAACATTCACAGAGGAGCAAGAGAGATTAATACGTGAGCTCACCCCGGACGTGGCAGAAAAAATTCAGGAATGCTTTCACCAACATGGCAAAATCACACTGCACTGGAGGAAGCCTTCCTGGGGTAATGGACTCAAGCACACGTGAATTACCAGTTATTCTTATGCTTCTCGAAGTAACTACTAACGCAGGGCAGAAAATTGGAACTCTCATTGACTTAGCATCAGACACCAACTACATCACTCACACAGCCGCCAGGAGACTGAAGCTTCGAAGTGAAAGGATCACACTAGTCGTCCATGGAGTTGGAGGCATGGCCATGAAGGTGAAGACCAAAAGATACTTACTCAAGGTGAGAGTCAAGACACCGAGAGGCACGGAGAAAGCTCATGAGCTGATCTGTTATGGGTTGGATGAGATTGCAAAAGTTCACAGAGCAATCAAAGCACAACACCTCAAGAAGTTCTTCCCCGATACCAACCTGGAAGACCTTCACAGACCAGAACATGTTGAGCTTCTCATAAGCCACCGGGAAGGAAGACTTGCTCCACAGAGAGTAAAGGTAGTAGGAGATCTTGTCCTGTGGGAGAGCCCTTTAGGAAAGACCGTTGGAGGAGCACATCCAGACCTCTGTGAAGTAGTGGACATGGCCCTGCACAATTCTGAAACTCATTTTGCACGATCTATGAGAATCACAGCAGTAAAGTATCAAGAAATTGCTGAGATGCAAGAATCTAGAGCTGAAACTAAAACCACTGTTATTGGCAAAGAGGTCTTGGACTGGTGGAAGTGGGACAGCATTGGTGCGGCCTGTGAACCCATGTGTGGAGGATGTCGTTGTGGTAACTGTCAACCAGGAGGCAAAGACATGACTCTTAGTGAAGAAAGAGAGCTTGAGATAATCAGGCAAGGTCTCAGTTACGTGGAGTCAGATGTGCATAGTCAGGAGCCTCACTGGGACACAAAATACCCTTGGATTGAAGATCCAAGTTCCCTGCCCAACAACAGAAGCGCAGTGGAAGCCATGTTTCTGAGGACGGAGAAACAACTCAAGAGAGAACCAGATTGGCGTGCAGCATACACAACTCAGGTTCATGAGATGGTGGAAAGGAAGGCAGCAAAGAAACTCACTAGAAAGACCATTGCCGACTGGAAAGGTCCAGTATGGTACGTCAGTCACTTGATAGCACCAAACCCACACTCTATAACTACACCTGTCCGACTGGTATGGAACAGCAGCCAGAGGTTTAGAGGAAGCAGCATGAATGACCTTCTTCTGAAAGGGCCTGATGTACTTAATCCTATTCGAGCGGTACTGCTAAGGTTCAGGAGAGGAATCCATGCTGCTCTCGGCGACATCAAAAAGATGTACAATTCTGTGTGGCTCGAAGACCTGGAGATGCACCTCCATAGATTCCTCTGGAGAGACGGTGATGATGGGGACATTGAGGAATATGCCATCACCAGGGTCAACATGGGCGATCGACCAGCAGGGTGTATCGCACAACTAGCCATGAGAGAAACAGCGAAGTTGCCCATGTTCACACATCTGAAAGAGGAACGGAGGGTCCTTGAAGAGGATTCCTACGTAGATGACATCCTGACATCCCATAATGACCTGGAAAAGCTAGACGGAACCACCAAAAAAGTCGAAGAAATCCTAAAGGCAGGTGGATTCTTCCTCAAGCCGTGGGTCCGATCAGGCCAAAGTGGGAGGCAAACATCTACATCAGAACATCCAACATCATCAGATGAAGTCTTCATCCTCCCCAACCAAGTGAGAGAAGGAGACAACAGAGCCCTTGGAGTTGGTTATTTAGTCGAATCAGACAAACTGTACCTCATGACCTCGATAAACTTCTCAAAGAGACAAAAGAAGATGAGGATCAGTCAAGATCTCGTTGGAGAGGAAGTGAGAATGAAAACTCCAAACCCACTGACCAGAAGGCAACTGCTTAGCCAAGTAGCTAGTTTGTATGACCCAATAGGCCTTGCAACACCTGCCAAACAGAAAGGAGCTATTTTAGTCAGAAAAGCATTCCAAGAAACTGGAGGCAAAGCTCTAACAAGAGACACATGGGACACACCTCTGTCTGAGAAACTTAGAGGAGAAGCAATCCGCCTGTTTGAGGAATACAGACACCTCAACCAAATTACCTTCCATAGAAGCCTGACTCCAGTCAAAAGGATTGGAGAACCCTGGGGAATAACATTCTCAGATGGGAGCGACCAGAGTTATGGAGCAGTGGCATACTTCAGGTGGGAGACCGAGCAAGGCATCCTGGTCCGACTTGTTGAGTCCAAAGCCAAGCTTACACCACTTGACCAAAAGGGAGAACCAGTGAAGGCTGAAGTCTGTGGTGCTGTGTTCGCTGCAAGACTCAGGAAATACATTGAAAAGCACAGTCGGATGCAAGTAGGACGTTGGATCCATCTGTTAGATAGTCAAACTGTGCTGGGTGCAATCCAAAGGGACAGTTATGGGTACCAGACCTTTTTTGCAAACAGAGTGGGAGAGATCCAGAAGTCCACATCAGTTGAGGACTGGAGATGGATTCCAGGTGAGCAAAACATTGCTGACCTCGTGACAAGAGGAGCAACCCCAGAGGACCTCAAAGAGAACTCTGTGTGGCAGAACGGCCCAGAGTTTCTGAAACGACCTGTAGAGGATTGGCCGACAAAGTCAGCCAAAGAAGTCGCTGCAGATGCCAAAGAAGGCATAAACAAGCTCCAAAGGAAATGTTTTACAGCAGCACTGACCCGAGCGCAGGTGGGGAAAATAATCCAACATGCTCCACGTATACCAATATCTCCAACCTCTGACAAAGGTAAAGACCTGCAAAGCAGCCCTAATGGAAGAGGGCACCAAATCCAAGTCCAAAGACCACCTTCTGGTTATTCAGTGGGGAATATCCTTAACATCAGCAAGTTCAGCAGTTTAACCAGGTTGACAAGAGTCATTGCCTGGGTGTGGAGAGCTGCCACAAGGTGGAAAGAAATGCTAGCCAAGACCACCACCACAAGCAAGCCAAAGAAAAAGGAAATTCCTTCAGCTCTTGAGATCCAGAAGTCCAGAATCAAGAAAGCTACACTTACCATCATGGAGTGTGAAGATGCACTCAGGGATCTCTTCCTTGCAGCCCAAAAGGATGTAACCTGGCCAGACACCACACTCAGCAGGCTTGCTGTGGTCAAAGAGGAAAACACTGGACTCTTGCTCTGTGGAGGAAGATTCCAAATCTTTAATGAAGAAAAAACTGCAGTACCAATCTTGCCCTGCACGTCATGGGTATCCTCCCTTCTAGCTCAAGAAGCCCACTAAAAAGATGGAAAAACATTCAATCAAGATACCAGCAACAGTTCTTCACAGGGATGTCAGACGGATAGTTGTCTTGCTTCCAGTTGAAGAGCAGCAGCAACAGGATCAAAAATAGAGTAACTGAATCCAACACATCACAGTTCTGTGTGACCTCCTTGGGTTGAAGAACCAGGAGGTCAAGTGGGAGGTGTTGTGTCAATTCCTGACTACAAGCTACAAGCCTAAATCCACCCAGGGTGCTCAAAGCACTCCCAACCTGCAGGGGGCAACCATGCAACCGGAGCTGTTGAAACCAACCACCAGGAAGTGCTCTGGGGACCATATTAACCTGCGCACCCACAAGCAGTGCATGTGCATGGCATCGAAATGTTTGGTAAAAGCTTACTTGGCTCTCACTCATTCCTGAGAAGAGATACCAATGACCACAGCTCCTGATCATCCAAAGACGCAACTGGTAACGTTACTATAATCATGTGTATTGTTAAATGTTTAATTATGATATTGATATTTAATTAGTAACTTGCAATGATCCTAGGTTAATCTAAATGATGAAATGATTGTTTGGTTAGGTTTGAGGATTCAGTAACATTAGTTTATGCTTATTTTTGAGAAAGTGGAATTGAGAGTTATTTGTAACTAATCCATGGGTTTTTGTTTGTGTGTTTTGAAGGTTATCAACCTATTCTGTTCCATCTTTATGACAATAAAAAATCATAAAGTGAACAGTTTTGAGTTGTCCTTTGCGTTCATCAAGGATAAAGCCGTTTTCAAGTTTGGGCAGAGCTGTGGTCAGCCAGAAATCACGCAGAACTTGACACACATTGTATGATTTTTAAGTAATTAATTTGCATTTTATTGCATGACAGAAGTATTTGATACATCAGAAAAGCAGAACTTAATATTTGGTACAGAAACCTTTGTTTGCAATTACAGAGATCATACGTTTCCTGTAGGTCTTGACCAGGATTGCACACACTGCAGCAGGGATTTTGGCCCACTCCATACAGACCTTCTCCAGATCCTTCAGGTTTCGGGGCTGTCGCTGGGCAATACGGACTTTCAGCTCCCTCCAAAGATTTTCTATTGGGTTCAGGTCTGGAGACTGGCTAGGCCACTCCAGGACCTTGAGATGCTTCTTACGGAGCCACTCCTTAGTTGCCCTGGCTGTGTATTTCGGGTCGTTGTCATGCTGGAAGACCCAGCCACGATCCATCTTCAATGCTCTTACTGAGGGAAGGAGGTTGTTGGCCAAGATCTCGCGATACATGGCCCCATCCATCCTCCCCTCAATACGGTGCAGTCGTCCTGTCCCCTTTGCAGAAAAGCATCCCCAAAGAATGATGGTTCCACCTCCATGCTTCACAGTTGGGATGGTGTTCTTGGGGTTGTACTCATCCTTCTTCTTCCTCCAAACACGGCGATTGGAGTTTAGACCAAAAAGCTCTATTTTTGTCTCATCAGACCACATGACCTTCTCCCATTCCTCCTCTGGATCATCCAGATGGTCATTGGCAAACTTCAGATGGGCCTGGACATGCGCTGGCTTGAGAAGGGGGACCTTGCATGCGCTGCAGGATTTTAATCCATGACGGCGTAGTGTGTTACTAATGGTTTTCTTTGAGACTGTGGTCCCAGCTCTCTTCAGGTCATTGACCAGGTCCTGCCGTGTAGTTCTGGGCTGATCCCTCACCTTCCTCATGATCATTGATGCCCCACGAGGTGAGATCTTGCATGGAGCCCCAGACCGATGGTGATTGACCGTCATCTTGAACTTCTTCCATTTTCTAATAATTGCGCCAACAGTTGTTGCCTTCTCACCAAGCTGCTTGCCTATTGTCCTGTAGCCCATCCCAGCCTCGTGCAGGTCTACAATTTTATCCCTGATGTCCTTACACAGCTCTCTGGTCTTGGCCATTGTGGAGAGGTTGGAGTCTGTTTGATTGAGTGTGTGGACAGGTGTCTTTTATACAGGTAACAAGTTCAAACAGGTGCAGTTGATATAGGTAATGAGTGGAGAACAGGAGGGCTTCTTAAAGAAAAACTAACAGGTCTGTGAGAGACGGAATTCTTACTGGTTTGTAGGTGATCAAATACTTATGTCATGCAATAAAATGTGTGTGTGTGTATTACATTTACATCATTTAGCAGACGCTCTTATCCAGAGCGACTTACAAATTGGTGCATTCAACTTATGATAGCAAGTGGGACAACCACTTTTTTTGTTTTGTTTTTTAAGGGGGGTGGGGGAAGTAGGATTACTTTTATACTATTCCAGGTATTCCTTAAAGAGGTAGGGTTTCAAGTGTCTCTGGAAGGTGGTCAGTGACTCCGCTGTCCTGGCGTCGTGGGGGAGCTTGTTCCACCATTGCGGTGCCAGAGCAGTGAATAGCTTTGACTGGGCTGAGCGGGAACTGTGCTTCCGTAGAGGTAGGGGAGCTAGCAGGCCAGAGGTGGATGAACGTAGTGCCCTCGTTTGGGTGTAGGGTCTGATCAGAGCCTGAAGGTATGGAAGTGCCGTTCCCCTCACAGCTCCGTAGGCAAGCACCATGGTCTTGTAGTAGATGCGAGCCTCAACTGGAAGCCAGTGGAGTGTGCGGAGGAGCGGGGTGACGTGAGAGAACTTGGGAAGGTTGAACACCAGACGGGCTGCAGCGTTCTGGATAAGTTGAAGGGGTTTAATGGCACAGTTAGGGAGCCCAGCCAACAGCGAGTTGCAGTAATCCAGCCGGGAGATGACAAGTGCCTGGATTAGGACCTGTTCCACTTTCTGTGTAAGGTAGGGTCGTACTCTGCGAATGTTGTAGAGCAGGAACCTGCAGGATTGGGTCACCGCTTTGATGTTAGCGGAGAACGACAGGGTGTTGTCCAGGGTCACTCCAAGGTTCTTTGCACTCTGGGAGGATGACACAATGGAGTTGTCAACCGTGATGGGCAGATCATGGAGCGGACAGTCCTTCCCCGGGAGGAAGAGCAGCTCCATCTTGCCGAGGTTCAGCTTGAGGTGGTGATCCGACATCCACACTGATATGTCTGCCAGACATACAGAGATGCGATTCGCCACCTGGTTATCAGAAGGGGGAAAGGAGAAAATTAATTGTGTGTCGTCTGCTTAGCAATGATAGGAGAGACCATGTGAGGATATGACAGAGCCAAGTGACTTGGTGTATAGAGAGAATAGGAGAGGGCCTAGAACTGAGCCCTAGGGGACACCAGTGGTGAGAGCACGTGGTGCGGAGACAGATTCTCGCCACGCCACCTGGTAGGAGCGACCTGTCAGGTAGGACACAATCCTAGAGTGAGCAGCGCCGGAGATGCCCAACTCAGAGAGGGTGGAGAGGAGGATCTGATGGTTCACAGTATCAAAGGCAGTGGATAGGTCTGGAAGGATAAGAGCAGAGGACAGAGAGTTAGCTTTAGCAGTATGGAGAGCCTCCGTGACACAGAGAAGAGCAGTCTCAGTTGAATGACCAGTCTTGAAACCTGACTGGTTTGGATCAAGAAGGTCATTCTGAGAGAGAGAGCAGGAGAGTTGGCTAGAGACGGCACGCTCAAGAGTTTTGGAGAGAAAAGAAAGAAGGGATACTGGTCTGTAGTTGTTGACATCGGAGGGATCAAGTGTAGGTTTTTGAGGAGGGGTGCAACTCTCGCTCTCTTGAAGACGGAAGGGACATGGCCAGCGGTTAAGGATGAGTTGATGAGCGAGGTGAGGTAAGGGAGAAGGTTTCCGGAAATGGTCTGGAGAAGAGAGGAGGGGATAGGGTCAAGCAGGCAGGTTGTTGGGCGGCCGGCCATCACAAGTCGCAGATTTCATCTGGAGAGAGAGGGGAGAAAGAAGTCAAAGCATAGGGTAGGGCAGTGTGAGCAGGACCAGCGGTGTCATTTGACTTAATAAATGAGGATCGGATGTCGTCAACCTTCTTTTCAAAATGGTTGACGAAGTCGTCCACATTGAGGGAGGGGGATGAGGAGGGGGATTCAGCAGGGAGGAGAAGGTGGCAAAGAGCTTCCTAGGGTTAGAGGCAGAGGCTTGAAATGTAGAGTGGTAGAAAGTGGCTTTAGCAGCGGAAACAGAGGAAGAGAATGTAGAGAGGAGGGAGTGAAAAGATGACAGGTCTAGTTTTCCTCCATTTCCGCTCGGCTGCCCGGAGCCCTCTTCTGTGCGCTCGCAGTGAGTCGTCAAGCCACGGAGCAGGAGGGGACGACCGAGCCGGCAAAGATGCAGAAAGGGAGGAGAGGAGGGTTGAGGAGGCAGAATCAGGAGATCGGAGGGAGAAGGATTTAGCAGAGGGAAGAGATGATAGGATGGAAGAGGAGAGAGTAGCGGGGGAGAGAGAGAGCGAAGGTTGCGACGGCACATTACCATCGGAGTAGGGCAGAGTGAGTAGTGTTGGAGGAGAGCGAGAGAGAAAAGGATACAAAGTAGTGGTCGGAGACTAGTGGTCGGAGGGGAGTTGCAGTGAGATTAGTAGAAGAACAGCATCTAGTAAAGATGAGGTCAAGCCTGCCTTGTGAGTAGGGGGGACAGTGAGAGGGTAAGGTCAAAAGAGGAAAGGAGTGGAAAGAAGGAGGCAGAGAGAAATGAGTCGAAGGCAGACGTAAGGAGGTTAAAGTCACCCAGAACTGTGAGGGGTGAGCCATCCTCAGGAAAATAACTGATCAAGGCGTCAAGCTCATTGATGAACTCTCCAAGGGAACCTGGAGGGCGATAAATGACAAGGATGTTAAGCTTGAATGGGCTAGTGACTGTGACAGCATGGAATTCAAATGAGGAGATAGACAGATGGGTCAGGGGAAAAAGAGAGAATGTCCACTTGGGAGAGATGAGGATTCCTGTGCCACCGCCGCGCTGACCAGATGCTCTCGGGGTATGCGAGAACACATGGTCAGACGAGGAAAGAGCAGTAGGAGTAGCAGTGTTTTCTGTGGTAATCCATGTTTCTGTCAGCGCCAGGAAGTCGAGGGACTGGAGGGTAGCATAGGCTGAGATGAACTCTGCCTTGTTGGCCACAGAACGGCAGTTCCAGAGGCTGCCGGAGACCTGGACCACCAGATTAGAGTGGCAGCAGCCATGCGGTGTGAAGCGTTTGTATGGCCTGTGCAGAGAGGAGAGAACAGGGATGGACAGACACATAGTTGACAGGCTACAGAAAAAGGCTACAATAATGCAAAGGAGATTGGAATGAAATGAACTAAACATCTGGGAAAGCAAGAGAGCGGGGCCTCCCTCACTTACGTTTCACTGAAACACTCAAAAATAACTCTCCCAACTAGAAATTATAATTGTTGTAAACTACAGCGGTTCAATGTTTTCTAGGAATAGACTCTAACTTAGTTTATTCAGCTAGCTAACTTGATACAGTATTCTTCCATGAAAACCATCCAGGGAACCGAATCCTATGACGCCATAGCCAACTAGCATGCCAGCCTCCAATAACACAGTTTAGCACCAATACTCGGTTACAACAAACCAGTGTGTTAAAACGCCAAACAGATCATTCGTGTCCGTGTCTAACGTTGTGTAAAGTTTTGGGTTAGTTTTTACAGTTTGAGTGAGTACGTCGTCAACTTGTTCAGCCAGTTAGTTAGCTAGAATAGTTAGCATACTAGCTAGCCATTGCTCTCTGCCAACGAACCACTCCTCCTCCGACGGCACGAAACACACAGAGAGAGCCAAGCTAACGTTAACTAGTCACCCATGTCCCGAATTCCCTCGAACGACTCTTGTTACCAGTATGTAAAAACAAAACAAAAATAAATGTAGGTTATAACTTACCCTTAGTAGCTACTGTTAGCCAGTTATGTGTAAAGCTAGCCACTGAAACGATTCAGCCAGTTCGCGTCTGTCCCAACGGAGAGAAAGCGTCTCCAAATATTGCAGCTAGTAGGTCGTTCCAGCTATTGTTTAGTTAGCTATCCAGGTAGCAACAAACTAGCTATATTTCGAGTACAGTAGCTACTAACTACCTAACGTTAACGCTTCAGATATTGAGGTTAGAAAAACAGCTGAATGGTAGGTAGCTAGCTGGCATAATTACAGGTACTCTTAAGCGTGAAATAACATTGGAAACAACTATCCACAGTTGCTAATAGTTACCAGTAGCTACCCGCTAGCTAGCTAGCTTTATTGGTCCAGGTGGGTTAGCTAGTCTCGTGCTTCACCGGGCTCAGCCGAATACAATACTTACCTACAATAACTACCTAGATAAACTACCTACAATACCTAACTACAATACCTACCTACAATCTAAATATATGGTTTAAGCTTTACTCGACACCATATAAGAAGCCAAGCTTACCTCCCGCTAGAGAAGACATACCTCACCTCACACACCTACTCATTCAATGCTATTTCTTTATTTTTTCAATTTTTTACATTTTAGAATAACAGTGAAGACCTCAAAACTACGAAATAACACATATGGAATCATGTAGTAACCAAAAAAGTGTTAAACAAATCAAAATATATTTTTCAAATACCCACCCTTTACCTTGTTGACAGCTTTGCACACTCTTGGCATTACATTTTTATTTTACCCCTTTTTCTCCCCAATTGGTAGTTACAGTCTTGTCCCATCGCTGCAGCTCCCGTACGGACTCGGGAGAGGCGAAGGTCGAGAGCCATGCATCCTCTGAAACACGACCCAGCTGCTCGCTTAACCCGGAAGCCAGCCGCACCAATTTGTCGGAGGAAACACCTTACAACTAGCGACCGAAGTCAGCGTGTATGCACCCGGCCCGCCACAAGGACTCACTAGAGCACGATATCTTGGCCAGCCAAACCCTCCCCTAACCCGGACAACTGTGCGCCGCTTCATGGGTCTCCTGGTCGCCTGGGATCGAACCCGGGTCTGTAGCAAGCATTGCGATGCAGTGCCTTAGACCGCTGCGCCACTCGGGAAGCCCCCCTAACCCTAACCTTGACCACACTCCAAACATTTATGCCTAACCCTAACCTTAAGTTACATTTTTGTTTTCATGGATTTTTACGATATAGCCAATTTTCCGTGCCATGGTGAAACTTAACTTTTTGCTGTCCTGTAGATAATAAAAGAAAATAATTATTATTCAATTATAAAATAAATAATTTGATGGTGAAACTTGAATCCAGCCAACCAGAAAAGCAAGGCAAAGCAATTCAGGCATTCTTGACTTGAAAGTCTGGACAATCCTTGTCCTGCAAAGAAACTATTTTGATAGTTTTTTTTTTTATGATTTAGCCAGCAGTAGGCATTTAGAATTAAATGTGGAGTGGCGCTTTATAGTTACGTGATAACATCACATGTCCTGCTTACCTTCAAAATTATTTTAAAATCATAATTTATTTTAAAAACACTGTTTCCATCATAATTTGTCGCAATAAGGATAGTTTGACAAAATAATAAATCAACTTCTGTCGAACAGATAGAAATGTTGTTGATTACACATGTAGCAATGTTTTTTTGTTGCGACATTGCTTTTGTAGAATAAACCTGGTTCAATGGAAACCTGCCTATTGATAGATGTTTTTTGGCAGGCATTACAACAGGGTTCAGTGGCTTCATCATCAAACATGGCCACATCTTCATCATCACAAAGAGTGAGAAATATGACACTGTCATTAAACAGTAACCCACCTTTTTATTGAGAGAGAAAATAGAGAAAGAAAAAAGACAGAAAATAGCTCTCCTGAACTTACTCTAGTATTTGATGAATGGTATTTGGCAGGCATGTCCTTCCATCATTAAAACAGGGTTCAGTGGCTTCATCATCCAAAATGGCCACATCATCTTTAACAATGAGTCACTATATTTTATAGTCTCCTCATAATGTTTGTCACGAAGAGATAGAAATATGACACTGGATATGTCCGAAATGGCACCCTATTCTCTACGTAGTGCACTACTTTAGACCAGACCCTATGGGCCCTCTTCGGATGTCACTGTATTATGTCATAATAGTCTGCATCATTGTGTTAACCCTGTCTGTGTCACGGTGGTTCGTTCTGGTTAAATTCCTGGAAGTACCCAGGTCCATACTAAGATTAGGGATAAGGAGGGGGGTCACTGATTATTCATTTCCAGGGTTATTGAGTTGATCACAGAAGGGTCATAAGGTGTGTGTGTGTGTGTGTGGCCCGTGACTCAGTGGTACAGAGGTAGTGATATAATCACCTCCTGTGCTATCTAACACACGGAGGCGCTCCACACACACACGCATGCACACACACTCAAACACACACAGCACCCTGCTACAGACGGAGGAGTTAGTTCTCTGACTCAATCGAGAAAGTAGAGTGAGAGAAAGAAAAGGGGGAAAGAGGAGGGAAAGAGAATGGGGTATCTGCTGTGAAAGAGTGGGAAAGAAAGAAAGAAAGAAAGAAAGAAAGAAAGAGTGTTGGTGGTGTGGGCGACGACTGCAAGAGAGAAAAATAGGAAATGAATACCAACGTGTATTGGGTTTGTCAGAGAGTGAGAAAAAGAGGGATAGAGGTAGAGCTAGTGTGTGGGGGTGGAGGGGTTTGGAGATTGTGTGGGCGGTGAATGTGCGTATTTCCCAGGTCTCTGGCATCTCCCTGCCTGTATCTGCACTTCCCTCATATGACCACAGGGGGGTAGAGAATGATAGGGAGGGAGAGGTAGAGACGTAAATATAAGAGAGGGGGAAAGAGAGGGACAGACAGAGAGAAATAGAGGTAGAGTTAGTCTGTGAATAATCTCGGTTAACCCAGAACTAAAGTTTTGTGTAATTGGTCAGATGCTCCATTAAATTCTGGGTCCATATGTGTTAGAAGAAGAGATAGAATGAGGATCTGAGCCAGAACGAAGAGCTTTACCCTCTCTCTTTGCAAGTTACAGGCAAGTCTATGGACCAAATGTCCCCTCCCCTTCAGAAACTCGAAAGATGCTAACAACTGCTAAATTGTGATTTGTCCAAAGCACCGGAACTAATGCTGCTCGTTATCTCACGCATCCCATTGTATCATGACAGATCTACGGTACCATTTATGTTTATGTAATCTGTCCACAAGAGATTAGCCATTGTCACATGTTGCTAAAAACTCAGAGGGTGACTTCCAGAGAGTGGTGAGGGGATCAATAAACCCATAAACCTCTGAACACTTTTTAACGCTATCTCAAACCTTAACCCTTATCTTAACCATTCGGAATAAGTGCCTAAACTTAACCCTTAATTTAGAAATTTGATGTTTGGAGAAATGGAATGATACAGAGCAGCAGGAACAACAAAAACACTTTGAAATTTGCAATAGCGGTGCGTGGGTAAATTCACTGGGGAAGCCAAGCCAGCACCATTTCAACTTTAGCAAATCACCTCTGCTTAGTCTAAGACAGTGACAACTAAAAGATGCAAAAAACTATTTAGTCCAATCAACGTAAGCTAAATAGGATGTGGCTGTCCATGGTTCTGATTTCTGCGTGCGTGTGTGTGCGCGTTCGTGCAAATAGAAAAACATGTTGACTCACCCTACTTGTAGAGAAACGCCAATGCCATCCTCCTCTCGTTCATGTTGATGAAACTGACTATCAGTCTGTCATACAGTACACACTTTTATTTTTTGTTGTCCTAGGCTACCTGGCTAAAATGCTTGCTCGCTAGCCTAACTTCCATTCATGGGCAACATTAACTAGTTAACATTAGCCTTCTACATTTAGCTACATATTGAACTTCCATCTTGTCAGGCCAGGGGCACAACAATGTATGAATTAATGGTTGGATCAGAATCGCCGTTAGAATTACCGGAGAATTAAGTAAAACCACAAGTCCAAATCCCTATCTCCATCCATGGCTAATTTAGGAAAGGGACAATTTTTGCCAGCTGTCTAGCAACACAACGAAATGCAACAATTCAAGTTTTTCTGTCAATGACGTATGCTCTCAATGGGATTTGATAGGAGTGACGCCAAATCAAAACTGGCTTCCCTTGACACCTTTTTTTTGGTGCACCAGGACCATTCACAGTTGAGCTCACTCAGTTTAGCTCAACGCTGATTGGCAAATTTGTTATACTTTTTTTGACAAGGGAGGCCAAATGCTCGCTGGCTTCCCTTGCCTTGAATGCTACAGGTGGCAACAATGTCATACTCATTTGGACCAGACAGCAGCAGATAGATGGCCTACACGTAGAGAGACAGAGGGGTGCTATTTCGCTCGCTCGGATGCTATCTCCTGTGAGATAAATTCAGCCGCTTGCGAATTGAAGGGAAATTATGATACACAGAAAGACGAAAGATAAATTAGTATTTGTTTTTATTTTATATTTTTGTAAAAAAAAATGGGGAATCCTGGCTTCCCTTGGCATCCATGAATACACAACACTGGAAGTTTGGAGCAACTTCTCAATCTTACGCTTTGTTAACGTGGATTAATTGTCTAATTCTGCAGTGAGACTAATTAGCCCCTACACCCTCGATCATTTTCACTCCCTCAGTTTTGGGACACTTGTGCATATGGTGGAGGCGCGAGTGAACATGCAAATGGAGGGCAGAGGGGCGAGGGGAAGGGGGTGATTTGGGATTTAGCCAATGTCTGTGGGTGGATGGGCCTGCCTGCCTGAGTATTTCCCAGCTCTACAGTGTCCTCGTGCCTGTACCTGCACTTCCTTCATCTGGCCACAGTGGGGACCTGCTTCTCTCTGTAGGAGACCTCTGCAGATGTGAGTCAAGGAGTCTGGCTAGCATAGGAATTATCTCCCCATGCCCTCCTCTCTCTCCGCCTCACTCCTAGCCTAGGTAGAGGTGTGTGTGTGTGTGTGTGTGTGTGTGTGCATACGTGCGTGTTTGTTTAGGTGTTTGTGCCGACAGTGGTCTCTCTGTCCTCTCCCCCAACCTTCTGCGTCACTACTGCGTCACAACTTATGGTGAGACAGAGCTGCACCACTCTGTAGCTAGCTATCAAATCTCTTATTTAGTGTGTGTGTGTGTGTTTTTGGTTTTACTATCGTTGTGGGGACCAGAAGTCATTTCGCCGGTCCCCACAAGGAAAAAGGCAATTTTAGGCATAGGTGTTTTTGGGTTAGGGTTATAGTTAGGGTTAGGGTTAAGGGTTAGGTAAAACAGGATTTTGAATGGGAATCAATTGTTTGGTCCCCACAAGGATAGTAAACCAAACGTGTGTGTATGTGTGCTTGTATTACTATCCTCGTGGCGTGGGTACCGGAAATTCCCAAAGTCCCCACAATGATAGTAAAACAAGGAACATATATAGGTACCCTATACAGTGCCTTGCAAAAGTATTCATCCCCCTTTTCCTATTTTGCTGCATTACAACCTGTAATTTAAATGGATTTTTATTTGGATTTCATGTAATGGACATACACAAAATAGTCCAAATTGGTGAAGTGAAATGAAAAAAAGAACTTGTTTCAAGAAATTCTAAAAAATAAATAACAGAAAAGTGGTGCGTGCATATGTATTCACCCCCTTTGCTATGAAGTCCCTAAATAAGATCTGGTGCAACCAATTACCTTCAGAAGTCACATAATTAGTTAAATAAAGTCCACCTGTGTGCAATCTAAGTGTCACATGATCTGTCACATGATCTCAGTATATGTACACCTGTTCTGAAAGGCCCCAGAGTCTGCAACACCGCTAAGCAAGGGGCACCACCAAGCAAGCGGCACCATGAAGACCAAGGAGCTCTCCAAACAGGTCAGGGACAAATTTGTGGAGAAGTACAGATCAGGGTTGGGTTATTTAAAAAATATATACGAAACTTTGAACATCCCACAGAGCCCCATTAAATCCATTATAAAAAAATTGAAAGAATATGGCACCACAACAAACCTGCCAAGAGAGGGCCGCCCACCAAAACTCACAGACCAGGCAAGGAGGGCATTAATCAGAGAGGCAACAAAGAGACCAAAGATAACCCTGAAGGAGCTGCAAAGCTCCACAGCGGAGATTGGAGTATCTGTCCATAGGACCACTTTAAGCCATACACACCACAGAGCTGGGCTTCACGGAAGAGTGGCCAGAAATAAGCCATTGCTTTAAGAAAAAAATAATCAAACACATTTGGTGTTTGCCAAAAGGCATGTGGGAGACTCCCCAAACATATGGAAGAAGGTACTCTGGTCAGATTAGACTAAAATTGAGCTTTTTGGCCATCAAGGAAAACGCTATGTCTGGCGCAAACCCAACACCTCTCATCACCCCAAGAACACCATCCCCACAGTGAAGCATGGTGGTGGCAGCATCATGCTGTGGGGATGTTTTTCATCGGCAGGGACTGGGAAACTGGTCAGAATTGAAGGAATGATGGATGCCGCTAAATACAGGGAAATTCTTGAGGGAAACCTGTTTCAGTCTTCCAGAGATTTGAGACTGGGACGGAGGTTCACCTTCCAGCAGGACAATGACCCTAAGCATAATGCTAAAGCAACACTCAAGTGGTTTAAGGGGAAACATTTAAATGTCTTGGAATGGCCTAGTCAAAGCCCAGACCTCAATCCAATTGAGAATCTGTGGTATGACTTAAAGATTGCTGTACACCAGCGGAACCCATCCAACTTGAAGGAGCTGGAGCAGTTTCGCCTTGAAGAATGGGCAAAAATCCCAGTGGCTAGATGTGCCAAGCTTATAGAGACATACCCCAAGAGACTTGCAGCTGTAATTGCTGTAAAAGGTGGCTCTACAAAGTATTTACTTTGCGCGCTCAAGTTTTCCGTTTTTTTGTCTTATTTCTTGTTTGTTTCACAAAACAAAATATTTTACATCTTCCAAGTGGTAGGCATGTTATGTAAATCAAATGATACAAACCCCCCAAAAATCCATTTTAATTCCAGGTTGTAAGGCAACAAAATAGGAAAAATGCCAAGGGGGGTGTGGGGTGCCATTTGGGACGTAACCAGTGAGAGTTTTGCTATAATTTATCACCAGCCCTTTTAATGCTCAATACATTTCCTTTACACAGACTGACACACACACACACACACACAAACTGAAATCACACGTAGGACATGCTTACATATAGACATGCACGTACGATCACACACACATTTATTTACAGGGCCTTCAGAAAGTACCCCTTGACTTCTTCCACATTTTGTTGTGTTACAGCCTGAATTCAAAATGGATTAAATCCCCCCAAAATCTCACCCATCTAAACACAATATCCCATAATGACAAAATGAAAACATGTTTTTAGAAAGGTTTGCACATTTATTGAAAATGAAATACATAAATATCTCATTTACATAAGTATTCACACCCCTGAGTCAATACATGTTAGAATCCCCTCTTTCTGGGTAAGCGTCTAAGAGCTTTGCACACCTGGATTGTACAATATTAGCACATTATTCATTTTAAAATTCTTCATGCTCTGTCAAGTTGGTTGTTGATCATTGCTAGGCAGCCATTTTCAAGCTTACTATATTTATTTCTCAACCTTCCTAATATTAAGCACATTGCTTCTCTTTACAACAGGAGTATAGCCTACCTGGCTGGCATGAAAATGAACCACGGGAAAAGCGTCCTCTATTCGCTATTTAAGTGCATAGATGACATATATTATTTAATATATGTAAAGACAAGATTAAATCAAGAATAGTGTGATGGGTGACAATATTAGCCTATCACTTGTGAATTATATATTATCACTTGTGAATGATGTCCAGCTGAAGGCAAACAGCGCATGTTTTTCTTTGGGTTTTTTCAAATCAAAGTCGCACACCTCATGTAGCCTAGACAATTGGCCTGTATGTTTTGATAAGGTTTGTATCACAACTAAAGTGGCCAAATAACTTCTTAAAATGAAGCACATTAATCCGCTTTACAATGGGTGTAGAGCCTAACTGGCATACATACGCAGCGCGTGAGTTTCAAGTTTGGGCAAGATCATTTTCACCATAGAAATGCACCTTTTTTTGATGCTAGTGGATGTATTAATGGGATCTATCGCATCCCACAACTGTCCCGGACTATGTTTGGAATATTTATTTCTCACACAGAATAGAATAGGTCAACTTCCTACTATGGGGGATAGTAAATTGACATAGGCTAGTGCTTTTGCTGTTCGTCAGGCCTACTCATCTTGTTGGCTGACGAAAAGTAAATGTGGTCAGTTCTTCTAACATCTTCAATATGTGCCTCAGAATTGGATAAGGACATGCGCAGTTGCGTCCCAGATGTGTCTCTTCACTTGTAGCCTGTGAGAAAGACCCGATCACGTGACTGAGAGCCATGAGAGTGAGAGGTGCTTCGGCACGCAGCGGGGAGAAGGGAATTATCATTTTTATATTCAGCCCAAGGGCACAATGGCCACTGGCCACAAAAGGCATTGATTTTTTTAGGGGGATTATGGCCACACAAAGTGGATGCAGCTGGGAAATTTGAGGCATTATCAAGTGCTTGTCAAATTGTGAATGAAAGACTGATGAAGTGTGTACAGCCTGCTCAAAAATCAAAGCAGAACTCATGCCTTTCATGCAACTTTTTTCAAATCATCCTTAGAGTCGCATCATGCAGCCTTAGAATGTATTAAAATCAAAACAAATAGCCCAACATTTTTATCACAACTAAAGTTACATAAATAACTCTAAATTAAGCATATAGGAGTACCTGTTTCTTTGTTAACCGCTCAACACAAAATAGCCGCATGTGCGCACTCCCTCAAATCGTTTGGAGAAACTATCCTTTCTATTTTATTCAGCTATGTTCAGTTGCATTCTTCATACTATAAAATAATATAAAATAGTGCCACTGAATTCTAAGCAAATCTTGTCTGCTAAATGAACTAGTGTAGCCCACAGCCATATGGCATAGCCAGATCAGGGCCTAACATAAGGACAATGCAGAGTATGCTATTCTGTTCTTCTGAAATAGACTACATTTTCTTCATATCATGTTTCTTTAGACCTGTCTAAAATAAATAATTGATTAATTGTGACGGTGTAGGCTATATTACATGGATTTATTAGACTTTTTTAAATGTAGATGTTCCAAAGGTATGCATCAGTGACTTGTAGGCTATGCATGGAAGCTTGGAGATGCTAAATGTGTTTATGTTAATTTATAACTTCACCATGCTCAAAGGGATATTCAGTGCCTGCTTTTTTTTTACCCATCTACCAATAGGTGCCCTTCTTTGCGAGGCATTGGAAAATCTCCATGGTCTTTGTGGTTGAATCTGTGTTTGAAATTCACTGCTCGACTGAGGGACCTTACAGATAATTAATTGTATGTGTGGGGTACAGAGATGAGTTAGTCATTCAAAAATCATGTTAAACACTATTATTGCACACAGAGTGAATCCATGCAACCTATTATGTGACTTGTTAAGCACATTTTTACTCCTGAACTTATTTAGGCTTGCCATAACAAAGGGGTTCAATACTGATTGACTGAAGACATTTCAGCTGTTCATTTGTAATTAATTTGTAAACATTGCGAAAACATTATTCCACTTGGACATTATGGGATATTGTGTATAGGCCAGTGACACAAAATCTTAATTTAACCAATTAAAAATTCAGGATGTAACACAACAAAATGTGGAAAAAGTCAAGGGGTGTGAATACTTTCTGAAGGCACTGTATATCATCATGCTCAGAGACACGTAGGCACATTTCACACACATGCTCTTTCTCACACACACACAAACACATAGACAAGATAGTGTAGAATATCTGCACACACACGCGCTCGACCCAACCATTGATAAATAATTTGACAGTGAAATGTACAAGAGAGCAACTCAACAAGCACACAAAAATCATTTAGCTTCTTTCGTTTTTATCAGTTTATTTGGCAAATTACTCTCCCTTGTTTTTTCTGTTTTTTCTTTTGATTTCTTGAATTTATTTACAATAGTAAAAAATAAATCATTTGTCAGCAATATTAGTATTATTTTACATTCGACACTTATAGTGCAATGTGTAACATGTCCCACTCATAATGTGCATCCCAAATGGCACCCTATTACCTATGTAGTGCACTACTTTTAGTAAGACTCTAGTCAAAAGTAGTGCACTATATAGGGAATAGGGTGCCATTTGGAAGATAACCATAAAGTGCATTGTACTTTGTCATCTTCACATTGATATTTCACGATACAAATAAGAAAATGAAAACATGATTCGGACTGTGTCACAAATGACCCTATTCCCCCACATAGTCTAATATTTCTGTTCAAAAGTAGTGCACTTTATAGAGCTCTCCAGCTTGTAGTCCTAAATCCCAGAAATGAGTTACATCTGTTTTGTTCAGCCATTCCTAAATGGGAAATGAATGGGGAAAGAATAGTGGTTTTGGATAAACGCCAAAAATAAGGTCTCTGGTTAACACAGGCTTAGGAGATCTTATGTGTTTTGTTCTATGAGATAATATCAGTCAGTTAATATGACCTTTATTAATTTTGAAGCCTTTATGTGTTTTATGTGCTTTTTTTGGTTACATAAATGCTTCAAAATTCACAAAAAGTGACGTTAGCTGATGAAAATTATTATCTCATAGAACAAAAGGTATAAGATCTCCTATGTCTGTGTTTACCACATACCTTTATTTTCAGCGTTTATCCAAAAACCCTACAAAAACTCATTTACCCATAGGCTTTGTCCATGGCAGAGTTAGTCCCTACAAAAAGACGGCATTTTACTATTGCTCTCTATTGGAGATAGGGAGTCATTTGGGACATAACCAGTAAGAACAATAACAAGATGTTAGCTCTGTTACATCACAGTATCATCAACCAATCACGTCCTTTGCTCAGGGCCTGACTTCCTTAGTCTATGAGGGACAAATCCTAACTTCCACTTACATAAATTGCATTTTCACTTAGTCCCCTGTTGACATCAATGCATGACTAAGTGAAAACTTTGGCTTAAGTGGAAATTAGAATACACCCCAAGAAACAACGATAATGCACGATAAACACTGTTTAATCTGTGAAGACCGTACATGGTCCCAGTGAAGTTTAGCTCTCAGGTACTGCTATAGACAATATGTAACGTTTTCACGAATGGGATTTATATAGCCTAACGCTTCTCCAAGTGCTGAAAGCGCTTCACACACACACACACACACACACACACACACACACATTTTCTCATAAGTGCAGGTGGCTTAGGTTTAGTGGGGTTCCTTTGTAAAGCAGCAAAAGCAATCGAAACAGAATCCAGCTTTACATTATTCTCAGATCTGTCAGAGAGAAAGAAGGAAGGAGAGAGAGAGGAGGGGGAGAGAGGATGAGGAGAAAGGAAGGGGAGAGGGAGGGAGGGAGAGAGAGAGAGAGAGAGAGGCCAGATAAAGAGAGCGAGAAGCTTCTTGTCTAATGGAGCAATGAGAGGATTTTCAAGTTGCTCAGGGGGTAAACAATTTTTTTCTTCTCCTTCGCTTTCAGCTTGCTATTTATAGTTTGGAGACAGATTTATTTCTGGGTAGGATTTGTGAAATGTTACAGAGAGAGGAGCACAGTCTGACATGGCACCCTATTCCCTATGTATTGCACTATATTTGCAACCTATTACCTATATAGTGCACTATGTTGGCACCCTATTTCCTATGTAGTGCACTACTTTTGACCAGAGCCCTATGTGGGTCCTGATCAAAAGTAGTGCACTATATAGGGAATAGTGTTCAATTTGGGAAGCAGATAGAAAGTGTCTTTGAAATGACCTTTTCCTCTCTTCTCTTCTCAGCAATGACGTCACCTGTAACCAGATAGACAATATGACGTTTGTTGCTGCTTTTTCCCCCCTTTAAATAGTTTTATTTTTATGTAAGTCCAGCTTGCTTATTCTGTTCTCTGTATAATGGGTAAATAAAGATTGTATTATATCTTAATTAGGCCTATTTAGAGTAATATTGATATACGTATTTTTTGGCAATGTGCTCTCAGAATGGCATGTTTATGTGTCTGCTCTACTCTGGTGAATATTGCCTGTGGGTTTAGGTTCCTCCTATATTCCACATTGTTATTCACAGAGCACTGATACATATACACTATTTCTTGGCCATTTCTGCTGCCACAAAGGTCCTCAATTGCAGTTTTTCTTTGCTCATATTTAGCTAATATTTTCAAGGTAATTTTTCAGTGCTCTCCTCTCCTATGGTTAGGTTGGGATTGGGGGGGACGGGGGGGTAGCTGATCCTAGATCAGTTTGGTTTTAGCGATATTATCCTTTATATATAATCTCTACACAAGATCAGACGTAATAGGCTGTCGTTTTTTTTCATAGCTCGTGATAGGTTATAATGTTTTTTCATGGCTCGTGATAGGCTATCATCTTTTTTCATAGCTTGTGATAGGCTGTCATGTTTTTTCATAGCTCGTGAATGCCTTTACCTTGAAATACATGAGACAAACACATACATGATCAATACATGTAATACATCAACCAAAATAAGACACCAGTAATAGGTAAGAAATATGGCACTTTTTAGCATAATCCAACACACATTGTTTCAAGAAAATTATTTTGACCATTGATAATACGCACACACAAGTCGCACACACTGTAACAACCATGTTTGTTTAAACTCATGCCCTGATGACGAATATAAAAATATAAGTTTCTGTACAGCATTGCATAAGAAAAATAACCACACTCCTTTTCCCTCCTGAAGAGACTGTGTTGAGCATATAGAAATATAATTAATATAATCTCTTTCTAAAGATATGCCTACAGCAGTATGTATGACCCATCTTGGTGTGTTTATCCATAAGAGAGTGAAGCTTTTATCCTGGAGGGCCACAGTGTCCGCTGTAGTTTCCATTTTTCTGTTAATTGACCAATTAACCAATTAACATCACTGATTGGCAATAAAGTGCTCACACCTGGTTTCCCATGTGTAAATCAAGACACTAATAGAAAGTCAATGATGAGGATCAGCTGGGTCGTGATCGTTAGGCACCAAATGGACTGAAACTAGAAGGAACTACCTGGACTTTTCCAACAAGAAACACTTTCATTTTCTTTTGCAAAAGGTTTTATAACGTCTTCCGTTGCGTGCCCAAATGAACAGGCCACAGATGTGCTGCAGCCCTCCAGGAAAGGAGCCTGACCATCTCCTGTTTACAGTGTCTGTTTTTTTCTTACATCACATACAATACAGTATTGGCAATATGAACCAGGGGGTGACACACACACACACACGGTGCTCAGTAGTCCCACCCCTGTTCTATAGGCATGACAGAGTGGTATATTCACAAATGGGATTCAATGACATTGGAGGACGCACCTCACAAAAGAACACATAAGAGTTCTGCGTGTTCACCACCGTGGTTACGCATGTTTCCATCAGAGAGTGACCAGGGGTGTATTCATTAGTCGCAAACGGTAGAAAATGCGTAAAACATTTTGCAACAAATACGAGGGTTTCTATTGGACAAATTCAAGTATGTCCCTCCCCGTTTGCTTCTGCCTTCGTTTGGTTCTGTTTAGTTCTTAGTTAATACACCCCAAGACAGAGGAGTACACAGCAGACCCCAATATACACCTGTTGTCTTGTGCATTTAAAGGCTGACACAAGGAGGTAATACATCTAGATCTATAATCGGTCATATGGTGGTCAAAAATGATGGTTTATGTTGATATATGCTAACCAATATTTATGTCTATTTTTTATTGTTGAAAGTTGAAGGTAGTGAGAGTTTGATTTGAATGGATTCTATCTGCCAGTAGGTCCAGTTCCCACTCTCTCGATTGTAGCTGTTTGATATTGACCTGTACACAGTAGTAAGTAATACTGTAGGAGTCATTTTAGCCACTACAAGCACATTAAACATTATTGCAAAGTTAGGTTAGTACAATAAGGCCAAAATAACAGTTAGTTACAGAATCTGCATTTTCAAAGAATTGGTGAATTGGGTTTTGCATTCATTGCCTAACTACACCAACGACCCATCCCAAATGGCTTCCTATTCCCTATATAGTGCACTATTTTGCAGGGCCCATACAGCTCTGGTCAAAAGTAGTGCACTATATAGGGAACAGGGTGCCATTTGGGACACAGCCTAACCGCGAAAGCGTGATTGTTTTTGGTCGTCAATCCCACTGAATAGAAAACAATAGAAAAAACAGCACTTTACAATGTAGAAAAATGCCATCATCATTTTATAAGGAAGTTCTCCAGTTCTGTATGTGTGCCATTATGAGAGTTATTTTGTTATATTTTTGTTGTTTGTTTTTGATACATTTTCTTTTTGGTAAAAGCGTTGAATTGTGATATACCCTTGAATAGTGACGGTGACTCATTGACAATATAAAAATATTTCTGTACAGTTTGCCTTCATTTAGTCATTTTTAAACACCAAGCTCTATAGGCTAAACTCTTACCCTCATAAGACAGCCAGCTCTCCATTGACCTATAGATAGACCCAATGGCTGGCACATCACATAGGCCACAGTAGTCTTTTACAATTGTTGTTGTTTTTACAGTACAGTGGATACAGTTGCAAAATCCTAGTTGTTTGATGACAAACAAACATGTTTGCTAATCAGAAAGATTTTTAAGAAAGTGTAATCTCAATTTCTGTTTCATTTGGAGTTTGGGGCTACATCCTAATAGTATTAATTTGCTTCCTCTCCTCGTCTCTTCGCCTTACTAACCACCTATGACACATCAGCTTCCCTCTATTGCAGACATCCAGAGATGCAGAGCCGAGAGGGAATGTGTGATTTGAAGCTTGTGTAGAGACCTAGATACGGAGAGGGGAAATTAGGGGTATATAGGCCAATAAAATAATGAATATGGAACCCAGAGCCTATGTGGTGTAATGTTGGTTTTGTGTTTCAGGCTACGTTCTGGTGTTCTGTTGTTGTCTAGTGCTGTGTCGTCCATGCATCGCCATCTTATTGATAGACACCCTATCGGATTTGGATCGATGTCTGTTCACCTGACATAATCAATATACTGTTTACATTGTCGTTTGACAGACGGATGTTGATCAATCATTATTGTTTAACTTGCCTGCCTGAATCAAGGCTTTTAAACCTACGTGCACTAAGTTTTCAATAGTTTAAATTCAAATGTAACTCCATTAATGATATCAAATGAATCAAATTATACATCTAATTCAGATGTATATTAATTGTTATGATTGCATGTCACACTATTCTAATAGGCTAATTGCCAGAAATGACAGACAAACAGACACCTCCAACAGTCATCTCCATCTGCTATCATTTAGAACCCTTCGCAACATTTAGAACGGTAGAACCCATTACGTCATTATGGAACTCAGCCAAAGCTTCTGGGAACACGAGCCGTCGGCTGTGACACACATATTGTCATCTCTCTCTCTGTCTGCCTGGGAAGATCGTGTTAATCTAAAACTCACGGGGCTGTGCTCTCTCTTTCTCTCAACGCCAGTCCTGTTTTATAATGCATTATTAAACCCTACAACAAATGAGACATGTGAAAACAACGGCCTGAATAGCTGGCTCCAAGGGTAGAATTTCCCTTGGCTTAGACACGAATCGAGGATCAGATTACACTTCCTGAATTCTAACTTTAACCAGTAAATGGGAAAATGCAAAACTGACCTTAGATCAGTGGCTAATAGGGACTAGGAGCGTTGGCTACACGGTCGCTATCCATGGTGCTGAAATTAGCTCTCAGTGCTGGGTGACAGTGGTTTGATTCGCTAGGCGAAGTCCATGGTGCTGAAATGGGTTTAGAATGTTTTAGATGCATTTCTTGATATGATAATAACTGTAGAAAATTCAGATTTCTAGGAATTCTAGTACTGTAATTCTATTTTTATACCTCCTAAATGTAGGCCTACAACATACAACATAATGCTTAGTGATATGGTTTGTTTTGTGTTGATAGCAATGGGAAATAAGGGAATTCTTGAGAGGTTTGGGCTTTTCTAAAAATGTATGTTTTTTCTCTAATGGTAAACATGAGTCAGAGTTCATATTGCCTTTGTTTGTTTGGCCTTGTGACTTGGTTCTAACGATTGTTATTGGTGTTCTAATACCGGGTATAGTCATCATTTGCAATACGATCATTGTGGCATGATAGTTTAAGCATGATAGTTTAAAGCTAGAATCCTTAATTAAAACAATAACAAAGCCAGCACCCCGCCTCAGTTTTGGTAAAAAGTTGAGGGCTGGGCCTGGAGAAATGTAACCACTCTCAAATTCATGGACAGAGGTATGGATGCAAGGACTGACCATCCATGATATCAATAATTATAACCATGTTTTGAGGCTATACAATGTTTGCTTACATTTACATTGCTTACAACTATTGAAGTAAAACAAGCTTCTGATGGGGTACGACAGTTGATCCATGCTCATGAAGCATTCATAAGTTATATTCTTCAATAATCAATGGGTATATATCAGTAATTTGTAAGTCCAAAAATGGATGTAGGTACTAAGGATTCTAGCTTTAAAGAAGCTCTCAAATGACACCTCACTGAAAACCTCAAGGTCGTAGTACCCTAACCTTACACACATTACCATGGTCGGCTAGTTTGCTCATCATAAGTAAGTTAGCTCATCTTGTGTTTACGAAGACTCCTTATCATCTTCCAACAAACTCCTACTAGGCTCTCCACTACTCATGCTCACCTTCTGCGCTAGAAGCATTGCAGAGGCCTATAAGTGTTTCACCTCAGCCCCACACACAGTCACAGTCCACTACTACCATCTCTATCCAGTGGGCTTGGGTAGGGCTAGGCCCAGGGCAATGCATCCCAGACCTTCTCAGTCCAGTCCATGCCTCCTCAACGTATGACTAGGGGGAGCCACACCCATCACCCAACACTGGTCTCCGCCCTAGGCAGGTGAGGTGTGGGGTCGGTCACATTTCTCCTTGCCACCCTGCTCTGACGTCACCGTACCCCAAACCTATACATTGTTGGAGATTGGAGGTCCTAGGAGGGGGTCGACCTTGCCTTGTTGGTCACCTTTGAACTTTGACCTCACCACACCCCAAACATATACATCGTCAGAGGTTCGAGGAGGGGTGCCATCTTGCCTTGACGTCAACACATCCCTAGAGAAAGGGGGGAGGAGGGGAGATCCCCTTCTTCTGACGACCCAAACACCCCTACCTCTACATCACTGGATGTATGGTGGGAGGGAGAGTTTGGAGGGGTCGCAGCCAGAAACCCTTCTCCAGGGCTCGACATTCCCATCTCCCAGTTGGCCTGGCCTGGCAACATCCTCCGCACACTCCGGGCCAGTTAATCAAGCTTTCTGTATGTCCAGGTTCCCTATACATCACTGGAGGTCCTCGCCCTCGGTCTCAGACTCAAATTTGACGGAACACACCCACAGCACGCCAACCACAACCCCTTCTGTATATCCGGGTTCCTAAAAGCGTATATGATTGGATTTATAACTGAATTACACGCCGCCGGCAGCACAGTGGCATATGTATATATTGTAGGATAACTCGAGTCCGCCACTATAGAATACATTGCGAATGGCAACCAACACATAGCGAAAGCGCAGAGAATTACAGAGAGTGTCTGGACTCCCTTGGTCGTGGAAATAGCAAGGAATTGATGTTGGACTGCGATTTGCTGAGCATGACGGAATGCAATCCTACAGATCTGGAGGTAGAGTTGCATCATGACTGCAAAGACCAATAGGAAGAAGACGGCGAGTGCAACGGCGTTGGATTTCGTGACTGGTCGGCAGACGCTACAGGTCGTTTCGTCGTCTAGACAGTTCCACCCGAGGGCGGGGAGGACTCCAAGGATCAGACCCACCAACCAGATGAGCCCTACCACCAGGTACGTGAAGAGGACAGTCCGTTCGGTGTGATAGGTCAACGCGTTGTAGAGCGACAGGTACCTGTAATGGAGTGAACATTACTGTCAGTCCAGTCCATGTTTTCATTGGCACACTCACTATTCCAAAACATGTTTTACTCATACTGATAACTGATTACTTAAGACCAGTCCATGTTTTCATCATAGTGAGAACCGATACACTCAGAATTCCAGTCTATGTTTTACTCATGCACTAGTTGAGCTACAGGGCTAGTGGCTAGTGTCTAGTTTCCCTTAGGTACAGATCTAGGATCAGCTTCCCCTCACCAAGTCCTAACCTTAACCATTAGTGGGAGAAATGTAAAACTGACCCAAGATCATTGTCTAGGGGCAACTTCCCCCTACACAGTTGCATCGCCGCAATTATAGTAATCAGAAATACAACATAAAGAGAACTACAATGTCATCGTACCTGTCCACAGTGATTGCCAGGATATTCAAAATGGACGCAGTGAACGCCATGATGAGTATCTCTGTGGAAACCAAGGTCACAACCTCTCCCTTGACCAGATAGGTGAAGACGAAGTTTAGGATGAGTCCGAGACCCGCCAGGAGGTCGGCGAACGCCAGCGAACCAATCAGGATGAACATAGGAGCTCGAAGGGTCGGCGTGTAGAACAGGACAGCAATGACCAGAGCATTCTCGCAGGAGATGAGAGTTCCTGTGACACATAATGCCACGTCCCATGGGTTGACATCCTGTTGATGACAACAATAATAGTAATACGTTTTCAAAATACCCAAAGTTACTTCACATAGTCAGCAACATTTTTAAAAAGCTATAAAATCAACCAGAATATACACGTACACAAAACTGGATGACATCATGACTAACCTGGGGTGTGGTCAGAGGTCGTAGGTCAAGGTCGGATGTGGAGGTGCGGACGGGGACAGCGAAGGAGGAGTTGACCCCGGGGAGGTCAGGGTAGGGGTCAAGCCAGGGGTCAAGGGATGAGGGGTCAAAGGTTGCAGAGGAAGTAGTGTTCTGGGGAAGGCCACTGCTGCTCATGGCTGCAGCTAGGGAGAGGATCATAACTGGATGGAGGGAAGGAGAGGAGGGGAGGGGGGGGGGGGGTTCGGGTGAAGAAGAAGAAGAAGAAGAAGAAGAAGAAGGGAGAGAATAGGCTGTATTAATAAGGAGACGGGACACCATAGTGTAAGCTTCAGGAATGTCTTTAGTAAGATAAAACCAGATAGAGAATACAGAGCATAATGTGAAAAATGTATGCACTCACTAACTGTAAGTCGCTCTGGATAAGAGTGTCTGCTAAATGACTAAAATGTAAAATGTAATGGTTACTGTAGTATATTATTCTACAGAGGGAGAGGAGAGGGGAGGGGGAGAGGAGTCGAGGGGGGAGAGTTGGGGCAGAGAGGGAGGATGGGTGAGGAAAGAGGATTAAGGGATTTAGGTTGGAGAGGGAGAGAGCGAGAGAGCGAGAGAGCGAGTGAGTCAGAGGTATCCATTACTACAAAGGAATAAAGTCACTTCTCAAATAAAAACAAAAAGAGAGCATCCATCCATCCAATCAACATTGGAAACAAATGCACCTGACCCAAATAATATATATACTGAGTATAACAAAATTAGGAACACCTAAAAGGGATTAAATTGTTTTTTTTCCCCCCTCATCAATCAACACACAATAACCCATAATGACAAGGCAAAAACTGGTATTTAGACATTTTAGCAAATGTATATAAAAAAAACTACTGAAAAATCACATAAGTATTCAGACCCTTTACTCAGTACTTTAATGAAGTACCTTTCACAGCGATTACAGCCTCAAATCTTATTGGGTATGACGCTACAAGCTTGGCACACCTGTATTTGGGGAGTTTCTCCCATTCTTCTCTGCAGATCCTCTCAAGCTCTGTCAGGTTGGATGGGGAGCGTCGCTGCACATATATTTTCAGGTCTCTCCAGAGCTGTTCTGGCAGTGCCACTCAAGGACATTCCCGAAGCCACTCCTGCGTTGTCTTGCTGTGTGCTTAGGGTCGTTGTCCTGTTGGAAGGTGAACCTTCGCCCCAGTCTGAGGTCCTGAGCACTCTGGAGCGGATTTTCATCAATGATCTCTCTGTACTTTGCTCTGTTCGTCTTTCCCTCAATCCTGACTAGTCTCCCAGTCCCTGGAGCTGAAAAACATCCCCACAGCATGATGCTGCCACCACCATGCTTCACCGTAGGAATGGTATTGGCCAGGTGATGAGCGGTGCCTGGTTTCCTCCATGCATGGCATTCAGGCCAAAGAGTTCAATCTAGGTTTCATCAGACCAGAGAATCTTGTTTCTCATGATCTGAGAGTCCTTTAGGTGCCTTTTGGCAAATTCCAAGCAGGCTGTCATGTGCCCTTTACTGAGGAGTGGCTTCCGTCTGGCCACTCTACCATAAAGGCCTGATTGATGGAGTGCCGCAGAGATGTTTGTCCTTCTGGAAGGTTCTCCCATCTCCACAGAGGAACTGGAGCTCTGTCAGAGTGACCATCGGGTTCTTGGTCACCTCCCTGACCAAGGCCCTTCTCCCCCCATTTGCTCAGTTTGGCTGGGTGGCCAGCTCTAGGAAGAGTCTTGGTGGTTCCACCTTTTCCAAAACTGACTGCAACTCCTTGTTAAGGGTTTCAGTGAATTCATTAGCTGTGGTTGCTGACACGTATATGGTTGAATCATCAGCATACCCATAATTTCATTTAAAGTACGCCAACGTTTTTTTTCCCATAATTCTTTATGTCATTGATCTTGGCTTCATAATACAATTTATTCTTCTTTTTGTTAAGTTTAGTCACATAATTTCTCAATTTGCAGTAAGTCTGCCTTCTTTTGTCCCATCTCTTTCAACCATATAGTTTTTAAATTCCTCATCAATCCATGGAGCCTTAACAGTTCCAACAGTCAGTTTCTCAACAGGTGCATTTTTATCAATAATTGGAAGAAGCAATTTCATTAATTCATCAAGTGCAGCGTCTGGATGCTCCTTATTAATCACATCAGACCAGCAAAATATTTTTTACATCATCCACATAAGTCACTACACTATTTTAGGCCCTGCTTTTGGAACCTTGGTTCTCCTAGATATAGCCACTATATTATATCAATTAGGAAGCAACACTGATTGACAATAAATGTCACATGCTGTTGTGCAAATGGAATAGACAACAAGTGGAAATTATAGGCAATTAGCAAGACACCCCCAATAAAGGAGTGGTTCTGCAGGTGGTGACCACAGACAACTTCTCAGTTCCTATGCTTCCTGGCTGATGTTTTGGTCACTTTTGAATGCTGGCGGTGCTTTCACTCTAGTGGTAGCATGAGACGGAGTCTACAACCCACACAAGTGGCTCAGGTAGTGCAGCTCATCCAGGATGGCACATCAATGCGAGCTGTGGCAAGAATGTTTGCTGTGTCTGTCAGCGTAGTGTCCAGAGCATGGAGGCGCTACCAGGAGACAGGCCAGTACATCAGGAGACATGGAGGAGGCCGTAGGAGGGCAACAACCCAGCAGCAGGACTGCTACCTCCGCCTTTGTGCAAGGAGGAGCAGGAGGAGCACTGCCAGAGCCCTGCAAAATGACCTCCAGCAGGCCACAAATGTGCATGTGTCTGCTCAAACGGTCAGAAACAGACTCCATGAGGGTGGTATGAGGGCCCGACGTCCACAGGTGGGGGTTGTGCTTACAGCCCAACACCGTGCAGGACGTTTGGCATTTGCCAGAGAACACCAAGATTGGCAAATTCGCCACTGGCGCCCTGTGCTCTTCACAGATGAAAGCAGGTTCACACTGAGCACATGTGACAGACGTGACAGAGTCTGGAGACGCCGTGGAGAACGTTCTGCTGCCTGCAACATCCTCCAGCATGACCGGTTTGGCTGTGGGTCAGTCATGGTGTGGGGTGGCATTTCTTTGGGGGGCCGCACAGCCCTCCATGTGCTCGCCAGAGGTAGCCTGACTGCCATTAGGTACCGAGATGAGATCCTCAGACCCCTTGTGAGACCATATGCTGGAGCGGTTGGCCCTGGGTTCCTCCTAATGCAAGACAATGCTAGACCTCATGTGGCTGGAGTGTGTCAGCAGTTCCTGCAAGAGGAAGGCATTGATGCTATGGACTGGCCCGCCCGTTCCCCAGACCTGAATCCAATTGAGCACATCTGGGACATCATGTCTCGCTCCATCCACCAACGCCACGTTGCACCATAGACTGTCCAGGAGTTGGCGGATGCTTTAGTCCAGGTCTGGGAGGAGATCCCTCAGGAGACCATCCGCCACCTCATCAGGAGCATGCCCAGGCATTATAGGGAGGTCATACAGGCACGTGGAGGCCACACACACTACTGAGCCTCATTTTGACTTGTTTTAAGGACATTACATCAAAGTTGGATCAGCCTGTAGTGTGGTTTTCCACTTTAATTTTGAGGGTGACTCCAAATCCAGACCTCCATGGGATGATACATTTGATTTCCATTGATAATTTTTGTGTGATTTTGTTGTCAGCACATTCAACTATGTAAAGAAAAAAGTATTTAATAAGATTATTTCATTCATTCAGATCTAGGATGTGTTATTTTAGTGTTCCCTTTATTTTTTTAGCATTGCTCTGGCACCCCAATGGTGGAACAAGCTCCCTCACGACGCCAGGACAGCGGAGTCACTCACCACCTTACGGAGACATTTGAAACCCCACCTCTTTAAGGAATACCTGGAATAGGATAAAGTAATCCTTCTACCCCCCACACCCCCAAAATAAATAAAAATAAAAGACAAAAAAAAGAACATTGTAAAGTGGTTATCCCACTGCTATAAGGTGAATGCACCAATTTGTAAGTCGCTCTGGATAAGAGCGTCTGCTAAATGACGTAAATGTAAATGTAAAAATGAATCATTCAGATGTTCATTGGCAAACTTCAGACGGGCATGTATATGTGCTTTCTTGAGCAGGGGGACCTTGCGGGCGCTGCAGGATCAAATACTTTTTTCCCTCACTGTATATATATATATATATATATATATATGTATTTGATCCCCTGCTGATTTTGTACGTTTGCCCACTGAAAAAGACATGATCAGTCTATCATTTTAATGGTAGGTTTATTTGAACAGTGAGAGACAGAATAACAACAAAGAAATCCAGAAAAACGTATGTCAAAAATATTATCATTGATTTGAATTTTAATGAGGGAAATAAGTATTTGACCCCTCTGCAAAACATGACTCAGGAGGGATTTTGGTCCCACTCCTCTTTGCAGATCTTCTCCAAGTCATTAAGGTTTCGAGCCTGACGTTTGGCAACTCAAACCTTCAGCTCCCTCCACAGATTTTCTATGGGATTAAGGTCTGGAGACTGGCTAGGCCACTCCAGGACCTTAATGTGCTTCTTCTTGAGCCACTCCTTTGTTGCCTTGGCCGTGTGTTTTGGGTCATTGTCATGCTGGAATACCCATCCAAGACCAATTTTCAATGCCCTGGCTGAGGGAAGGAGGTTCTCACCCAAGATTTGACGGTACATGGCCCCGTCCATCGTCCCTTTGATGCTGTGAAGTTGTCCGGACCCCTTAGCAGAAAAACACCCCCAAAGCATAATGTTTCCACCTCCATGTTTGACGGTGGGAATGGTGTTCTTGGGGTCATAGGCAGCATTCCAACACTTTCACCCAGTTCTCCTCAACTAATCTTCTCCTTTCCCCCTTCTGATAAACAGGTGGCGAATCGCATCTCTGCATGTCTGGCAGACATATCAGTATGGATGACGGATCACCACCTCAAGCTGAACCTTGGCAAGACGGAGCTGCTCTTCCTCCCGGGGAAGGACTGCCCGTTCCATGATCTCGCCATCACGGTTGACAACTCCGTTGTGTCCTTCTCCCAGAGTGCGAAGAGCCTTGGCGTGACCCTGGACAACACCCTGTCGTTCTCCGCTAACATCAAGGCGGTGACCCGATCCTGTAGGTTCATGCTCTACAACATTCGGAGAGTACGACCCTGCCTTACACAGGAAGTGGCACAGGTCCTAATCCAGGCACTTGTCATCTCCCGTCTGGATTA